TGCGGGCTATGGACTGCAATATGCTGCAGTAGATTATTAAAGGCTGCTCTGATGAATGATGAATTATTATGACCTGTCTGCTCGTCTGCCCCCTCTAACATAAAGAAAAAAAAAAGGCAAAATTCCTCTTTTCCTTTACCTGTAAATATTGCTACATCAGCAAGTTACAGGGTTGCTGATGTGGCAAACTTGTAACATACATATTACAATATGTTAGAATTTTGCTGATGTAGCAATATTAACAGGTTATGGCCAGCCTTGAACTAAATTGACTATAGTTCTGTACCAATACTTATAAAATGTGCCTGACATGCCAAAAACGGCATTATTTACCGCTGTAAGTAAAAATGTCTTTTTTTTTATATTCAGGTTCCTGCTGTGATGGTATTGTGACAACATGGCGACCACCACGATGGTAGTCTCACCGTTAGCCACTCAACCATCGCCAAAGAACAAGAGGAGACTGTTCGCTGAGGCGAGACAGACCAGCCTTCAGAAGCTTAGTATAATATTCGATCATGGAAGTAAAAATAGTAGGTCAAAGTTGTTTTTTAATTTAAGTTAATGTGTGTTAAATGGAAGTGGCAGTGGGCTGCTCATATTAGCCGCAGAACCAATAGCTGTTGAAGTAAACGAGTTCTTAATAAAAGACCGCGTCTCAGCAAATGTAGTGAAGAACGCCCACAGGCCAGGTAGAGTGACGATTTGCACAAGATGGCTGGCAGGAGCTGGATGCAAAAAGCCGAAAACCGATCAAAGTGGCTGCAATGAGGGAGGCCTATGCCCAGCAGTGGACTGCTATAGGCTGATAATGTTGATGTTAAATGGGCAAACAGACATTTATCGATAACGTTTCTAGCAGATATTAAGATCCTGTTTTGATATTATTAGAGGATAAAATTATCCTTTCACGTACATTAGTTTTAAATAGAAGTACTCTGGCATTACAATATTTTTTTTATAGTATAGGGGGATAAACGAGCACGGCACCTGATGGTAAGTGATCACCGCCACCCGTGGACGCTTACAACAACTTAGGAGTCACAAGTGTGTTTTCGTACTTTTGAGCGGCGTCCATGGGCTATGGTAATCGCTTACCATCAGGCGGATGCGTGTTTATCTTCGCTGTGGAATATTAAAAAAAAAAAACTCCACCGTATACTATTGCAACATAATAAAGAATTATAAAAAGTAAAAGTACAAAAACAAAGGACGTTAATTTACTGACGCTGTTAATATAAAAAAGTTACAAAATTTGCTGTCATGCCCAGTGAATTTTGAATAGACTGTAAAGTGACATTTTATGCAAACATTGTTCTAAAATATTTGCCAGGTAATTAAATAAAGTAAAATAATGAACTACGCGTAGTAACACTTTCTAAGTATTAAAAGTACTTAGAATACTACATTACACTTATTATATATTTATTATACATATATGTTTATGTACATACATACATTTACAGCTTCCGTTAAATAAATAAACTGTCATAACTTCATCATCAATTCACTTGTCTATTTTCTACATTCCTGTCCATCTCAAGGTTGACTTTGAAAGATTGCTTTTAGTGAAGAGGCCGCCCATTGTGCATTAAGCTTATTAGTATACAAGGTAACCTCAAAATGTCGGTCTACAATATAGAATTATCACCTACTCTGTGCACTTTTGTCTAGCTCTAAAGTCCAATAACACGAGGAATCAATAAAGTACCCATGGCGCTTTTAAAACGGAAGCGTGAAGTGTCAAACTATGTTGAGATTTTTTTATTATATCCATGCTTATATTATAAATATGAAAGTAAGATTGTTTGTTTGTTATGCTTTCATGCCTAAACCACTAAACTAATTTTAAATGTTCTTTTACCAATGGAAAACTACATTATCAGCGAGTAACATAGGTTACTTTTTACCGCAATCACTGACACACACAGTCGGAGCCGCGGGCAATAGCTGGTAACATATAAGGGGCAAACGAGCGTACACTCAAAAGGCTAGGTTGAGTTGCAAGATTGAATAGGTAGCTTTTTTTTTTCAACGTGTGGAAATCCCCTCGGACCGTCACCCCGCCGGGGTTTTCTATTCGGCGGGGCGGTGTGTCGGACTCGAACCGACTAAAACCACACGGTGTGCCCTCTTTGCGCTTCTATTTTGGGAGGGGTCCAGGGAGTCATCGCCTTCTGGACCCCCCCCCCCCCCCCCCCTCCAGCGCCAGCCCGCTCCTGGCGCGGGCTCCGTCTCAGTGGACCCTCTCTTTAGGCGACGTCCGGCACACGCGGACGCCGCCCCCTCGCGGCTGGCCAAACTAATGCGGGTGTAGGGGAAAACCCATCCCGTCCACCCGCGGCCACACTCAGGGCGGCATGAGGCGCAGGTGAGCGCGCCTCCGCCGCCCGGTTCGCCGGCGGCCGATCGGGTCCGAGTGGAGGTCGTCCTCCCGGGCCTTCTCCGCCGCCTCCTTCTGCGAGATTACCTCCTCGCAGAGGTAGTTACCCCTGCCTCAACCTAGTCTTTTGAGTGTACCGAAATTAAAACCCAGACACAACACAATGTAGTATAGAAATATATCCAGAATAATAGAATGATATAATAGGCATAAAACAATACACCACAAATAAAATTACGTGCAAGCCTGATGCACGATTCCTTTGTCCTCTCAAAATGAAAAAACCCTCATGCGGTCTACAGGTGTCAGTTGGATTACACCTGCTTTCTTTCATTATTAGAAATTTATTCCGTATACCATATTAAAATGTTGCACACTTACGGTGGTAAAGTTGGTCATCAACCTTAGACCGTATAATTGTAGATATAATTACGAGTATAAATAACTGATGTTCCATCATAAGCTTCGCTGTGGCACATTGTGCTTGTATTGATGTGAAATTAAGAACAAAACTGACGTAAAAAACAGATAAAAACAATCCTTAAAGCGATAAATCGCATGGAAATTTGAGCTCACTCAATGCAGAACTTTGAATGGTACACAAACCAATTTAACATTTATAGATAGATTCCCCATTTCTTTCTATGTTGCCGTAACAACTTGTATTCAACATTTTTAAAAGATCGGTTGATTAGAAGAGCATGAAGCACAACAAGAACCTGTCTTAATGATAAATACGTATCTTAGAAAAGATAGTTGTTATAAATATCTCATGACGCTCTGATGAAACGAAACTACCAGAACAATGTGTCCACAGTTCGGGGCTGTATCGCTCTAAAGTATAGGGAGAAATAATGCACAATGTTCTAAAACTTAAATGTGCGATAGTTCCGGCGATGGCTTGTCAGACCCTATGGCACGGGATAAATTTTATTAAAAAAAAACTAAAAACACGCTTTTGTAACTAGAAAATAAAATAGAAAGGCATTTTCTATGTTTTAAAAAGAAAAGTCAATTTAATCGTAAAAATGCATTGGAATGGTAAAATATTATATTGCCAGATATTGGTAAAAGTAAAGTTATTATATTATAACATATCTTGAAAAGGACCCATCGTAAATTACTGCATTGTCATCTGTCCTTAAGAAATGTGCCAAGTTTCAAATAAATTCGACGCTTTGAAGTAGTGGTGTTAAAAAACAATGTTCCGTTTAGCCAAACACTTAATTTTATCTTCTGTAAGTGAATATTTGAAGTAGTGAGGATCAGGATTGGATCGGAAAATTCCATACCAAAATAAAATTAGTGCTTGATACATGTTTGTGCCTACCTGTTACTCGAATTGCATTAACACTTACATGCTAATCTTAAATACTCACGATGTTTGTACAAACAAGTTTTCTTTGAAATTATAAGAAATTATATACTCAGTTGATCAGTCTTATTTTGTTAAGATCAATATACTTATATTGTTGATATTTTTTTATTCCTCGAGTGTTGAATTGAGTATCTAATACAGTACTAAGTATTACAGCAGTATACATAATACATTAATTGTATATGAAAAGAACCGTAACATATATTTAATATTTATGGATTGTTGAATATGATTAAAGCATAAGTACAAAACTATATGCGATACTCATAATGTTACAGTATTGAAATACTTGTAAACTCAGCCATCTCATATCAGACAATATTTAAAAAAAAAAGTATTGACTCATGTTATTAACTCACGTTAGAGGGGCTTGGATTACCCGGCAACAGTCGACTCAAGTCACAGGTATGCGACCCTAATCTGAGGGCCGAGTGCAAGTTTATTTCACATCGACTCGCTCTCGACGGCAAGCGTTTAGCGATTGGTGGAGAATTCAGTGCGGGCCAATCGTAGCGCCGATCGCGGTCACCGTGACGATCGAGTAGAAGTGTAATAAATTCGCACACGGCCCTCTGCTCGAGCTATTGCTTACACTTCTTGCCAATATAGATACTATCCCTTTCCTTATATTGCCTTCTCTTCTTACTCACCTTTCTGTTTCAATTTATTTCCCTATCTTAATTTACCAAAGTAAACGGGACCAAATCATACTTGGCAAAATGTGGTTTTTTGATACGCCTCTGTCTATCCATACGAAGATACAAGCGTGAGCATGTATATGTATAGATCTTTTATCAGACCCTGGGCTACATAAGATTTTGCTTACATAATGGTGCATTCCTAAGTATTCATATACTTGATACGCAATGTGATCGAATCTTTCTATGTTAAATTCACTTTTAGGTTACTTCCGATCATAGCTGAGTTTGGCCATGATTGTCGAGCGTTGCGGGAAGTTTTCAATATACATTATAAATTACGTAAAATTTAAAAATTCACAATAGCAATAGGTGTAATATGAATAGCATGGCTATCGATTTTACGATTATTTTAGTTTCGTGGTGAATCATTATTACATAATTAGGCTTAACATGATTATTAACTTGTATTCTGATTTTGTAAAACGAAATATTATGACCGATGTTGTTACTTACGTAAACGAGAAACGTGTAGTAATGTGCTATAAGTAAATAGGTATACTAGCTACTATTATTATAGCTTTTATATATTATCACCTACCTTATCGAACATTCGCACAGTGATTTTTTCTTCCATCTTTTAAATCTTGTTAATTTTCAAGTCAAGTAAATCAAATTCTCAATATTATTCAACTGGTCGTTTTAAAGTAAAATCAACGTAGATACCTTAATGTGACTTTGATAAATTTTGACTTTTCCATTGGTTTTTTTCTTAACAACTTATTATTTTTGTTGTAAAGAAAAACAGCCTGATGCTGGGAAGATTTATATGTATGTACCTACCATACTCCTTGCCATAAATATTAAATACATTAAGCTAATGGCATCGGCTTTCATGTTATCAAATACTACAAACTTAAAATAATGTTTTTCATAAATTAACTTTTAATTGTGTTAAACGCGAACCCCTAAATACCCTTATACCCCAGGAAATAATAATTATTTACTATCGTATATCGTACTCTTTGTGATTACGATTCAATTTAAGTCGTTACGTCGGCAAAGCAGATTTTAGTGTAATCCTTTATGACTAGATGGCGACACAGTAAACGAATGAAATGCGCGCTTTTTGGTCACTGTTTTTCTGTTAACGTCCATTTTGACGTTTTCTTCAAAAGTGTTACCAGTATCAAAGAATTCTACCACAATAGTCATTTTTATAATTTAAGTCTACCATTACCTCGATGTGACTTTAGTTATTTAATTTTTTATTGCATTGCGTGAAGAGGTATTTATATAAACCCACTTTAGGTTCATTAATTAATAAATATTGTATTTGACAGTATCTGAAGTTGCCTTTCTTTTTAAATAAAGAACTAACAAAACTCTTGGGATTATCACAAGTTTAATTAGTTCTCTTTCAAAGGAATTCATTAGTTTTCTTACTCTCGCTGGTTTAAAAGAATAGTTAGGTAAATGACTTGATTGTTAGTTAAGTGAATAAAATGACTGAATTCTACTGTAGTTTTAGCCAAAACTCATAGTTAAAGTTATATATTTTACACATTTAAAATTGTTAAATAAAGTTATTGAAATTAGTTTATAAAAAGATTATACATACAATTTTTTATTTTTTAAACAAAAAGACGACGATAATTTGTTTAAAAAAAACAGGTGTTTTCATTGTTTGTATAACATCCAGTCCAAACAGTAGTTTTGTTGAATGTGAGTATGGCAACACTAAATTCTGCAGTAATTATTTGTATGTATTTCTCAGCGCCATTACTTTTTACCGATGTAATGTTGAAATGATTCTAATCCGTTTTCATCGGCAAATTTGTGTGATGTTTTAGTAAAACATTGAAGTGATTGTGTACTAAAACTGTCGAACTTCTTAAAGTTTTTGTGCTGGGCTTTGTCATGGCCGGTAAGTGGTGACTTTTTGCGCCCGCTAGTCAAGGGCGAAATTGGATTTGGGAATCGCAATAAGTTGAAGATGTTTTATCGTTCGAACTCCGACGGTAAATGCAATGTTATTGTCATTAGTTTGGTTTTTAGTATTTAGTGTTTACATACTGTGAAGATAGCTTGTTTGGATTGTTTGGTTATCACAACTTACGCCGATAGTTTTAACCATTTTGCTCTCTAAATTCGCTGTTTTTAGAAATGTAGATGTGAGGAAGTTATCACAACGGTCTTTCTGCGCTTGTTCTATAATTTACAACGAAAATCCAACATAAAATCTTGACCTACTGCCTCTATGTTTGTGAGATCTCACAGAACATATGATTGTAATTCATTGCCCTTGCGTATTTAGAACTTACCTACTGTAGAATAATTGCCTCTGTGCCGTACACAGACATTGATGTGTCTAGCAAATAAGTCGTACTAAAGAAAATACGTTATTCAAATGAGGTTAAAAGCAGGTAAGCCTTCTTTACTTTTATAACTTTCGCTTTGTAATCGGTTGATGTCAAAATTCATAACCAGGTGATTATTATTAGGTACCGATTGTGTGAATTAGTGTTTAATTACGTTAATGAGGACTAATGTGTCCTTTAAATTACGAAGTCACAAATTTTTATTTTACGTTTATCAACTGTCCTGCTTCGTTTTGGTTAACTGCGCCCGTAACGAAAAGAGATAGGAACAAAAACGTTTCTTGTTATAATAAACAGTAGTGAAGGTCATTGTTTTGCGAAAAATAGCTGTTACGAGCATCTATTATATACAATTTTTTTTTTAAACCATATAAAAGTATAATTAATGATTTTGAAATTTCTATCTTCTTGATCTTAAATGCGTCTGTTATCTAACCTTAAAATTTTAGCATTGTTTAAAATATAGCTAAATTCCTATCATTGTTTATGGTTTCAATTATTTCCTATCAGGTAGCAGTCAGCTATGTCATGACATTTGTGGTTAAATAATAAACAAATCAAATTAAAGTGGACTCTTATTAAGAAGCCTATTTACAGATTCACTGAGATATGTTGCATTTAAAAATATGTACAATTAATTTTAAGTTTGCAACTACCCATTTTTGTAATCTATTTCACATTTTACAAGTCTCAATAGTTAGAAACATTAAATTTTTACAAAGTTTAGAGTTAGTAGTATAAACCTCTTTGCATTTAGTTTCTAGTAATTATATCTTTAATAACAAATGGACAGTTTTAGAAATGTTCCTATACATAAATGAAAATTTTGAAAAATCTTTTTTGATGTTTATTATGCATCAAATCATCAACTTCTATTACCATCTATTAATAATACCATAATTATATCAGAGTAGTAATGTTCTGTCTTTTATTACTCTGCTTACTTAACTTTACTCTTTTAAATACACACAAAAAGAGACACACGAAGAGAAGTGTTTCCCCTCCCTGCTACACCACCTGCTACCCGCTGACCTTTTAAATACACAATTTCAAATTTAGAAATAGAATATGTGCAGGGAGAATATAGATTATAAAAAAAAGAAACTACCATTGTGTTAAAAAAAGCTGCATTAAAATGTTATTCTTTAGCAGGTTTAGTTTAACATTGCATTCATTAACAGCATTTAGCTTCATACCATGTACGTAGAAGGATTACATCCCCAAAGAAAAAGCCAAAACCATATTGCATTCGAATCAATTACTGCATGAAAGATGTTGAGTGATAGAAGAGAATGAAAGAAGGGAATACATTTCGCTGACCTTAAATAATTTTGGGAAAGGATGTTGATGATGAAAGTTTGATTTACACCTTTATAAGTCCTCAATATTTCTGAATTTTGTCTCTTGGCTAATACAAAATTGATAGAATGAGTTTTTAATACAAATTTTTCTAATTTCTTCATTCATATATAACATATGATTATTAAATAATTTAAAAAAGTTATGAATAAAATGTAAATAAAAATATTATGCATAGATATATTTTAATGTGATTACATATACATTAAATTTTATAAAGAACAAACGAATCTATACTACATCAAACAGTCTCATCATCAACAGCACCTGATAGTCCACAGCTGGAGGTAGACCTTTCCTTAGAAATGATGTTTTGGCCTACTATACCATGATGGCCAGACGGGTTGGTATAGGGTTTGTTTCAAGTTTACCTTTAGTTGGTGTCCAAAATACAAAACAGTCTATTGATTGTATTTATAGGGCTGCCTATAAAAAATCTGGAATCTAAACTTTTGCCCTAAGATCAACCCAGGATTGTAAAATCAACTAGGAATCAGGAATTCATTTGTTCATTGTTTCAACTTTTCAATAACACTAAATATTAATCTTGAATTTTTAAACAACTGATAATGATTATAAATATAATAATCCCTCATTATCTTTTTTGTTTTTGGTTAATTGTCAGACAGTATTGTGTCAATAAAGAAAGAAAACTGTGGAAGTAAAATAGAACTTGATTACTGAGACCCTAATGAATGAACATTAAGTACCAGTAGGGAGCCAGAAAAGCTTATAGTTACTGTACTACTAGTTTTGTAGCTACTGGTTTTCCTAACTGAAGTAAAAAAAAATATGTAAATTGTCACCTTTGACCTTTCAATGTGTGCTTGGAAAGAAGGCTAAGTACTGTAACCCATTTTAGTTAAGATTTTGTATCTATGACAAATATAATAATATTTGAAAGATCTTGTTAATAGATAAATAAATCAAATATCTTTATTTTAAACATGTACGTAAACATGTAAGTTGTTTAGTAATGGGTTAGTAACAGAATGTACACACTAACAGAAATTCTTTATCATCATCAACAGCTTTTAACAGTCCACTTCTGGTTAGTCTAGTCTCCTTAGAAATAATGTTTTAGACTGCTGTAAGACACTGGCCAGATGCGTTGGAAAAGGGTTTAAGGTTTTCCTTCTCTTAACAGTGCTGTTGTCCCTGCATAGTTTGCTCTTTTTGTCGCCGGTTGTGATACCTATGGAATGAATAGGGGTGTTGACACTGTATTCTTAATCTGTCACATTATTTTCAAAAGTGATGGTCATGTATATTTATCTATTTGATAATAGACTACACACAACATGTAAATCATGATGTGCTCATTAGTAGTTATTGACATTTCTAGTAAGCAGGATTATATGTTAATAGCTTTTGTTGACAGCCCTTGTAACGAATACAGTTGTCAAGAGTGTGATCTCTGATGATGTCATTCTGTTCTTACAATATTTGTCATTTGTAATAATTGAAATTGAAATATATGTGATAAAGTATCGGACTTACAATTAACATATTTTCCATATTAGTGCCTTCCATGAATCTAAAAGTGTTGTATGAAGTCTAATGATAATGACTTACAATACCTCATAATATACAATAAATATATACTTAAACAACATCAGTACATACTTTTAAGTGTCAGTATACAAAAGTTAAACATTAAAAGCATCATTATAAGAATATATGACTATTATGTTTTATAGATGTGTAGTAACTAGACTGTTGATAAACAATACTATGTTCATAAACTAAATATGTGTACATATGTGGATATTACCTAGACAGAACTAATATTATATCATGCTTATCACACAATAATTTATCCTGATTACACAATCAAACAACCACCCACCTTTGGACATACTACTGAAGGATGTAATAGAAGTATTACTATATCTAATACACTCAATGTTTATATTTTGTGCCTAAAACCATTATGTGATTTTGTTATCCAGATGTTGTTTTTTTGTCTTCAATCCTTGCATAAATAATCTTACTAAAAAATTCGTTGATACATTTTAAAATTTTGAATTTTATGTCATTAGCAAATGATTTTAACTTGAATATGCAATAATAACAATGAAAATTGGTAATAAGCCATTGTTGGTGTCAATGAAGACCCCTTATTGCATTGCAAAGAGAAATGCTGTGACATCGCGAACTGACCCTATTCTAGAGTAATCTTTTCAACATGTTGATTGATTAGCAGATGTTATTACTGAACAAGACAAACATATTGCTTACAAATGAGAACACATGTTATTTTTTATTTTAAACATACATGGGTTTTTTGTTTGTATTTTTTTTCTTATATCATTGATTGCCATCTCTTTCTTTTCTGAGTTAATACTCAACAAACTCTTTAAATAGCTTTGATATAAATTACTTTGAAATCAAAGAACAGTGGTTTAAAATATGTGGAATATTAGTCGTTGTTGGCACTTGTGATTACAATAATAGCCTCACATTTAGTGGCCTTATGATCCCACATAATTTAGAACCATGGAAACCAGACTGCTGATAAACATATTTATAATGTATATTTTTAAATACACACACATTGTAAACTACACCCAAACACAGATTGTGATAGTCTTGGGATTTAGTTATAAAATCACACCTTGGGTCAATTTCTTACATGACGTGTTAATTTTTGGGGTTCTTAAGGCAGGTTCAACTTTGAAACTAATGAGGTGATCTAACAAGGTATATCTTAGTTCGGCTGTTGTTTTTGTGTGTATGTTTGTTGATGCTATTTGCGAACCCTCTCTCGACCCAGGGTCCCATTTAAAGAAGTCCCATTTGATTTCCACTATTACTGAGGGTTGTAAATTAAAGCATGAAGAATATGTAACAATAATTCATCATGATTAAGGTGGATTGAAGTCATTAATATCTTTTTAAAAATTGATTATTTAGCTTACATACTTATAAGGCGGTATCTGTAACATCCAATAATCACTTTGAAGTCACAGCGACTCTAAACACATGACATTGTTTATGACATTCAGTATACCAGTATAAGGATAGTCATCGGTCACAAGGAAAACTGACTAAATACCTGTTTATTTGGCGTGACAAGTGCAGTACCAAGTGTGGCCTTGTTACGTGCTGTCACGTAAAGTAGGATGGACGGATGAAGGACAAGCGTTTAGACAAAATATTATACGATATGACATAGTTTGATTACTTACTAAACTAGTTTGATTAGTTACTAAACTACAAACTGTTTTTGTTTCATGCCGTTAAAGGGACGACGAAACATCCGGTATGCGGCAGGTAGTTGTCGACTCGACGACTAAACAATCGATCCCCAGTACCTTCGCCATCTTAGTATGATTTAAAAAGGCTTTTTTTTATCACCCAGCAGAAACACACCTGTCATGTATCAGTTAGGTTTCCCCGTTTACAGCTTCGGTTACGCTGGCCCTTTGTGATTCTCTTTCTAAGGATATAAAGAGAAAAAAGTTAAATTTACGTTTCATTATTTAACCAGGGATAATTACGAGATTAGGGTATACACGTTATTTCATAGCAGCCGTTACTGGTTCACTCCTCAATGAATACAAAATCATCTTCATTGATACAAAAATTATTAAATCAAATCTGACTCATAGTTCCAGCGTTTAAAATAAATAATGAAACAAACAAACTCGGCCTAGTTACATTCCTTATAGATTAGTATAGACTATACTAATCTATACGTACGTATACGTATCTCTATTCAAAAACGAACGTCACCGTACTTTTTCCGCTGCAGACATAGTGACGAGAAAGAACGTCTCAAATAATATCAGTATACGTAAACAAAATGATTTGTATATAAGATAGCTCTCGTCAGTGTTATCACTCGGACAACCTTGAACCTGATAAGATGTCCACAGCCTATCCACTTGTCGACTCAAAAGTTTACATGAAATGATAACACACGATATCTGGTTTAGCATTATCTTGGCGGTATAAATTTTGGTTTCTAAATCTGTATATGTCTAACCATATTAATAAGATGCAGGACACTTTACGTCGGACTTGGAGAAGAATCTTTATCCCTTAGGCATACCCTAAGTAAACATTATTTTCAGCTAATGTGCAGTATCTTCATATCAGGTAATTGTAGTGTTGGCAACACCCAAAAAACCTCTACACTAGTCTTGCCAAAATAAAAATATCTAAGTATAAGTAAATTTGGCGCGGTTCGGTACGGTTACAAAAACCAGCCCCCTTTTCTGTAAACCATTGAATATTTTCGAAAATAATACGGTGAGCTAAGAATAAATTGGATTATTTTATGTCCTGAAATATCAGAAATGACAGTCTTTAATAGCTGCATAGAGGAAAAGAACTGAACGTGAGAGATGACAGATTATTACTAAATTATTGAAAGGGTATAGTATTAATACGGCCATCAAACCCGTTTTATATTGGAACTTATTGTAAGGCGACCGACAAAGGTGTCTCATTTTCAAAAGCATCCTGTTGCTACCTAAGTCCACCAAAAACCACAATGTTTAAGCGATAATACATAATAAGTTATACGAATAGCTTGTTATAGCCAGTTAGTGATAGCTGGTATACCTCGTAAACAGTTTACAACCTAATAAAACAGCATCGTCTAGCCAAAGTCAACTATTTTCACGGACTTTCTTGCGTATTACGTCATTTGCGTCAACATGTACCTGTATTATTTATACTTTACATATAATAATTTATTAATTATATAAAAGATTTGAGAAAATCACATTGGTTAATGTTATTGAATATTACTTAATTAATTTCGGGAATAAACTCAAATATTATATTAGTAGTACCTAATTTATTTGTCCTGAATTCAATGATGGCTTTAATTTCTCCATACTGAACCAATATTTTAGCATCCAAATTATGATTTTATTTTCGGGGCTATAATAATTTTGTTTATTATAAAACAAAAATTAGTGAAAGGACACGGTAAATGACAAACACTTTCATAATATTGCATTGAGAATATTACTCACACAGTGTTGGCAATGTCACTCAACTGCCAGCACAATTATAATTGCATCGCTATTTATACCATTATATAAGTCGCTTCCTTTAATTGTTTTGTGGCTGTCCTTTGTTTTATCCTGCATTGTCTGGACCCACCCCATAGCACCTCTAAAGAGAGTATAGTATTACTAAACCAGACTTCGTGTTGAATGCGATTATATTACTATTTTACTGACTAAAAACAGGTTTAAAAATGCTCACATAAACAGCATTCTCGTACGGACTATGTTCTTGAACAGTAGTCTTAACATATTTTTTTTAGTAAAATGCGTGTATATTTAACCCAGTACATTATAAGTTAGTATTAGAAATGTTAAAAAAGCAAGAAGTGCCGTGGTATTCCAACCACCGTATCAGAATTCAGGACAATTTTACGAACTGGAGACCCTACACTTGTCGCCTGCATTGGAACACGAGTTGCGACTGTACGTATTAGCTTAAAAGTGTGTCACCTTTGATTGGTTTTAATGGCAATCACTTGTCTCGCTCGTCTGGCGCCACTCTTTAATACGTATATTTTCTATGTAGATACATAGAAAGACGTTACAAAAGCAATTCTTGTCTTTAATTACGATTTTGAAAAGTAGAATGTTAAATAGAAATTTATTTAAGCAATATTAGTTATGCAAGCTGCTGTACAAAATAAAACAAAAAATAATATCTGATTAAAAAAATTGTCTTTGAACTTTTTTTTTTGCAATGTTTCATAAACTCGGTGGATTTAGATTTGGTGTAGTGTAGAAGTAAGGTCAGATTAGCTAGTCGTTAATATAAAATTATAACATGTTTTGAAAATTACTGTATGAAATACACTATACTTTCGCAGAACTGATCCTTAACTACAAAATTAATAATAGGAAACTTAATACTATATTTCAATATGTTTTACTCTGCTTTTACCTTGATTTTTATCCTTAGGAGAAAGACCGATGTGAGATTAATTTCTCTATTTCTCAGTTCTATTAGATTGCGTACTGTTAGTTTCTTTAACGTATGTTCTCATTATAAAGCTAAACCGAATAACCAATTTTGTAAATATTTAATAGCAGTGTGTTAACTATTGAGTGTGTGTTCTTCTATTTTACCTTAATGTTCAAGAAGAAAATAATGCAAAGTTTTTAAAATCTAAGTCAGTTTATCATAAATGGTTCTGGTAATAAACCACAGCAACCAGTTGCCGATCTGAATTAGTTCTACGCCACGTGTCGCCTGGATTAAATAATCCTAGCTCTCGCTTAGCCTAATCATCGACCATGACCCACACAGTATTTTATTTTATCATTGTCAGGAAAAGTCTTTGTACACATGCTCGTTTAATTTATTAATTTCAATTTATTTTGTGTCTGACTGGGCTGTATACTCGATTCGTTCGTAACTCTTGGGTTTATACAAAATTGCTGGCATAACATGCTCTATACTTTTTTACTCTTAACTCTCTTAATATACAATCAATCTAATCCAAAATCGATAAGAGTGTGTATTACTTTTAAGAATGTCAACACCAAAAAAGTCTAGTAGAAATATGTGTGACAAAATACGTTGGACAATGCAAATCAAAGTCCCATTTCCTCCTTTATTTTTGATGTCCCATTTAGTATAAATAATCGATTGCTGATGGGATACTACCATACCATTCACAGTGAAATTAAATCAGATTATACTCGATAAACTCGAATCTTTTAACACAATCGCAGTTAGTGTGTTCGGTGTTGGCCAACACTGAAATCTTCAATCTTGTGAGTGCGCCCTTATTACGCTAAGTACCTTGATATGGGGGTTATTGTAATTTTTAACAAAATGTTGTGTTTAAACATTCAGCTTTTGGGTTAGATTGATTTTATAATTTTCACTCTGCTAATAAATAATTATAGATAACTTAATGTCTTGAATAAATTTTATAATACATTGCATTTACGAGTTTTTTCTATGTTTTTATTTACTAACATTTCTTACAAATTGTTTTTTAAATTGATGTATACTAACTGCTTAATCCGTAATTTTTTACACTAAACACTGCTTTTTTTCTAAATGGAAATTTTGTATACCCTTTTTAGGGTTTTTTTAAAGAAAGAAACCAAAAAAATTCTAAATGTGTGCTCAAATAAAGGTTTTGCCTGGTTAAGTACATGGAAACTGCATAGCTAGTATAAATGGGTTTTACATTTTATAATTTTTAATCTTTAACATTTATAGGTATTATAGTAAAGAAATATTGGGGGTCGCAATCCCTTAAAATGTTTTTAATAGTTACTAAAAATATATTTTAAGATTTATTATTCCCATTATTCTCCTAAAAAAGCTGTTAGAGATATGTGAAAAAGGGTAAAATCCCTGTATTTGACGCATGTGCACTTTTTCATATGCTTAACCAGCCAGCACATTAAACATAAAATACTAATGAGATTGTATAAATGAAATTATTTTAAATATAAGGTTACGAGTACGTGGATTGTACGCATTAGGGTTCTTGTAGACCTACTCAATTAAATTAAATTGTATGTAAGAGTCAATTAGTATTTCAATTAAACGAGTGATGATTAATACCAATAAGTTAGTACACAACAGTTTGGCTCACATCAAATTTAAAAGTAAATCCATTAATTTACGTATACAGGAGTCCATTAAAAGTTGGTATCCCATTTTCATGGACAGCCTGTATATACCAACTAATATTTTTTGTTTTTAGTACGTACATATATACATTTATGTAGACCAGACTTAGTGTTCAAACTAGACCTCATTATATGTACAATCTCACCTACTCAAAACCGAACCTACGATCAATTGAATTTAAGTAAATAATAAATAGTTTCAACTCCATATGACTTACTACAACAAAATTTAAACGTTTTCTTTTACACCATTGGTTCGTTGTTCTAGGCAATGGTGGTGAGACGACATGGTGTTTCAGTCAGGTGAAGGGTACTCTAGAAGATGACGTCACAGAGGCCGACCTGATTTCCTGTGTCGAGTTCAACCATGACGGTGAACTGCTCGCCACCGGTGATAAGGGTGGTAGGGTTGTTATATTCCAGGTATGTTAACTTTTTCTCTTGATTTATTTTCTCGTTAAAAATATAAGATTGCCAAGTTATTTAAGAAATATTGTTCAGAAAAGTTCCAAATATAATATTTGAAATTTGGTTTACAATCGAAACTGCGATTCCGATAGTACCTTCACAAAATGAGATAATTAGTTTACAAAACGCTACAATTGTTTCATTATTGTTGCTAATAGCTTTTCATAAGGCTGGACGTATCAAACAGGTATCTCTATAGTCATCTTTATATACAATAATTAAAACGATAAAGCTATAAGGGACAGGCCTATGTCCAGCAGTGGACTGCGATAGGCTGATGATGATGATGATCCACAAGTCAAAGCACTTTATGTTTTTACCATTTGAGAACGTTACTCAACATTTAAGGAAAATACACATATTTTTCTGACTCAGTCTCGATTGTCCAGGACGCAAGAACCTTTCCTTTCCTATTAGTCACAACGATTAACTGACCTATTTTAATTTTACAGAGAGATGCGGCATCGAAACAATGCGTCCCAAAGAAAGGAGAATACAACGTATATTCTACCTTCCAATCACACGAACCTGAGTTCGATTACCTGAAATCATTAGAGATTGAGGAGAAGATAAATAAGATAAGATGGCTGAAACGGAAGAACCAGTCGCACTTCTTGCTGTCCACCAACGACAAGACCATCAAATTGTGGAAGGTTAGTCTTGTATGTATGGATTTTTTTTGTCAAAATTATTAGTGTTTAAGTTTAGGAACATTTACATACATTTAGTAACAAAATAATATCTGTGTACGACTTACCCTTGCTATTTATTTAATATAGTTATCATAACCATTTAATATCAGAAATTAACATTACACATTAACACATAGTTTGTGAAGGTATGTCAACATCCCCATCTCCGATGGGCAAACACAATTCCCACATTTGGTCCTTCGAAAATGATTTGAACGAGAAATATATAAATATTAATAGTAATAAAAATTGCGATCCCTGGTCGCAGACCTAAAAGTCCTGAAAAAGTGTCCTGCCTATTCTATGTAATTATAACAAATTACAGTTACTTATTCGAACTACACAGCTCATTTTTTTGGGTCAGAAAGAACGGTGGATACAGGTATATATATAATACTCTTGAGATAATATATAAAATGTCATCTTTTGTTCTTGGTTTTGAACCGTGAATGTACAAACAAAGTCTTACTACTCGCATTGTCTGCTCAAAACATGACCGTACGCGTAAAACAACAATACACCTTTATTTAAATATCACAAGTACATAACACGGATCTTGTATCAAATAAGGCGACTTGTCAAAAAGTAAATATTACCATACACTTACTTACCTTGAACCCATTACAATTCTCTCTCTATTTGTTAACGACAAAAGTTTATTATAATATTTAGCTCATCTAATCATTTTGTGAATAAAAGCGCCGGTTCCAAGATAATTTGTCGGTGGTTTGGCGTTATCGTGAGTCACTGCTATTGATCGTACCTACTGTATACTAATGAAATGTAGCAGACCTTCCATATCCTCAAAATATTTGAAAAAATAAAAGATTTTGTGTAGTCTTCATTACGTATAAGTTTTTCTTGCAAGAGTCTTCTGGTAGGTCGCGTAGTTACAACACCGTCTGGTGATGAAGGACTGGTGTATGTTAGCCCTTGCATTAGGAATTTTGAAATAAATGTATTTTTGTGACATAAGCTTTCACTTGGGTCTTAGAGATTTCATCTCTGTTGTTCTTGTATCCTGTTTTCTTTTAAATATGAATACTAGGTACTACTGAGGTTTGAAAATACACTGTAACAAGACCTACTAAATGAAAAATGTTTTAGTTTAAATAAATAAAAATCAGTCGGTATGCCGAAATTTCCACAAAATTTATTAAATTCCATCATCAAGATTACATTTACGTACGCATACCTACATAATAATAACTGTTCATTTCAACAGGTAAACTGTTTGATTACTAGTTCGGGAATTAACGCGATCAATAGGTAGGTATTGCATACCTTTGAATTACCTGACGTAGGTTGCACTGGCTGTAGTCACAGGCTGTAGTCAGCCTTTGTAATACCTATTGGTCGAGTTAAGTCATCATACAAATATATAATGAAACGCAAAAATCTAAGAGCTGTAATTTTTTTATTAGTTGTAAAATTCAATTTTTATTAGGAATACTTTGATCCCATTCACATTTAAAAAGAATACCAGTCGAATTGAAAATTACGAAATAAATAATACTGTTTATTACAATTCATCAGGATGTAGTCTCATTAAAGTTGATGTTTTTTTAAGGGTTAATTATTACCCCTAATGTATAAAGAATTAGTTGTTCTTCATCTGAATCATTTCTCTTTCACAACAAAATGTCTAATCGAATTCACTGACTACTGTCATATGTGTGCTATAAGTTGTTTATTTGTAGGTGTCAGAGCGTGACAAGCGCGTGACGGGCTACAACACGCGCGAGGATGGCGGTAGACCGCGTGACCCCGCGCGTATTACGCAGCTCCGCGTGCCTACCGTCCGCCCGGCAGAACTTATGGTTGAAGCTTCTCCAAGGTAAAGACTCGCTCTCTACATTTCATTTATTATAGAAATAGGCCTTTTTTTCGTGTGGAAACCCCCTCGGACCGCCACCCCACCCTGTTTTGCGGTGGGGTGGTGTTTCGGAATCGGACCGACTAAAATCACACGGTGTGCAGCTCTGCGACTGAAATAAGAAGGGATCCAGGAACTAGTGTTATTAAGGTATCCGGATCGGCACAAACAGGCCTGCTCGACCTGAGTACACGAGTGATGACCCACAGAAAACCGGTTCCAATCAATTGTCTCGTTGTTTTTCACCGAATGATTGAGTTCACTGGAGCCCAAAACCCCTCCTCCTTCTTTTGGGGAAGGGGACTCCAAGGACGCCAACACACTTGTGACTCGGGTGGTAGTCAGTCATGGGCGGAGATACTCACTTAACATCAGGTGTTGCTGCTGTTGTGCCGCACTATGTAAAAAAAAATGTACGGGAAACAGGGCTGTTAAACTGAAGTTGTAATAGAAGTCATCATCACTACAATGTGTATTTTGTTTGTTAGAGTTACCCTTAATATACTTAGATTAATTAGGTAGAAAATATTAATTTATGTTATTATCAAGTATGTTTATTTATGAGTGGCTCGTGCTATCTAAATATAAAATATTGATCTGCTCCTATCCACTTCAAATTCCACTTTAGTTATCAGCATATATAACTAAAATTTTTATTATCTCTTATTTATTAACTAGCAATACCAAAATAGCTGGCCTCGTTGGTCTTCGATTTTATTCTGGGTTTGATATCTAGATATAGCAAATATTAGAAATTATTAACGTAATAGTAATTTAGAGTGTTTGACTATATTTCAACGCATAAATAAATAAACGCAACGCATAAATTTAGTTTGAGAAATGCTTATACGAAATAAACAAGAATAGGACAGGCTAAAACACTTTTTTGTCCACAGGCGGATATTTGCAAACGCTCACACCTACCACATAAACTCCATATCTCTCAACTCGGACCAGGAAACGTACTTGTCGGCCGATGATTTGCGTATCAATCTTTGGCACCTGGAGATCACGGATCAGAGCTTCAACATTGTTGATATTAAACCTGCTAATATGGAAGAGCTTACGGAGGTAAGAGCCTCATATATTTTTTTACGAACTTTTATTACAAGAATTGGCTTTCTGAAGTTTCTCCTCTGTCTTGTAAATCTTATGTCAGAACATAAAATAACAACTAAAGAATACTTTAAAGTACTAGTGAATAAGGGTCTCGTAAATATGTTTTTTTTGTGTTCGCTTTATTTATAATAGTACCTTATCTTTTTATGTGATAGGTTTCGTTTATTTTATACGGTAATACCAACAATACTTCTAATGCTTGCATCAATGCAGTCACAGTTAATATTAGACTTCCTTTGCATCTGTAATAAAAAAAATACAAAGCAAAATATATATTTGTCAATGTAGTTACTATTAAAATAAGATGTTAACACGTCAACCTAAGTATATTTACTTTGAAAGTAATGATCTTAAAATACTGTTAAGCTCCGAAAAAATCCTGTGGTTTTGATACTGTGTGAATAACAGATCATATTGTACTACGATGCTAAAATTTATCCTGGCGTTGATGATTTGGTAATAGTCACTTACGTATTATGAATTTGGTTCCAGGTGATAACTGCGGCGGAGTTTCATCCGACCGAATGCAATCTCTTTGTCTATTCTAGTAGTAAGGGTAAGTAAATCAATGCCTACTACTTACAATTTTGTATCAATAAAATAATCTACATTACACTTATTTAAATCACAAAGCTAAAATCAAAGTTCCACTCACTATCAGGTGGCTCGCCTACTCGTTTGCCACCTGCGCCATAAAAAAAATGAAATCTTTTTTGAACTTAGTAAGTCAAACATAGAAAACTATTATAATGACTTAAAATTAGCAGGTCAGTAATCATTTGTAATTGTGACGTCGCAGGTACTATAAGGTTATGCGACATGCGTGCGGCGGCCCTGTGCGACCGACACGCGAAGCTGTTTGAGGAGCCCGAGGACCCGCACGCGCGTTCCTTCTTCTCAGAGATTATCTCCTCCATTAGCGACGTTAAGCTTAGCAACTCGGGCAGGTGAGACAAGTAGAATGAACTTATTACAGACTAGCTGAGACCCGCGTTTGTTGCTATAGCCGCGGGGAACGCCGCGAGGCGAAGCTAGTCTAAAAAAAGTGTCATCAGCTATCTGCCAGTGAAAGACCTGTCGAAATCGGTCCAGCCGTTCCAGAGATTACCCGGAACAGACAGACAGACAAAAATTGTAAAAAATGTTATTTTGGCATATGTACCGTGTAAACATACATATGCATTTAGTAAAAAGCGGTTATTTTAATATTACAAACAGACTATCCAATTTTATTTATTTGTATAGATACCATTTGGTTGTTTTAATATAAAATTTTGTTTGTAGTGTTTAAAATTACTAATGGCATACTTCTTAAACACGGCCGTTTGCACCCAAACTAGGCAAAGAGTGCACTATAGCAACCAGATTGCTGATGGACATATAACATATTTATAAAACCTGTTAACAGTAATATTATGGTTAAAATATTATATGTCAATTACACCCAGGCATACGAGTAGAACAAAATGATCGTGCTCATCACATAATTATTCGTCCTGGGTGGGCATCAGATCCACGACCTCTAGTTATCGCTACTCACAAGACCAATAGAATTGACAAAGTTTAAATTTTAAAGTTTAATAAATTGTTCTTGTATTAATTTATTTCAGATATATGATGTCTCGGGATTATCTAGGATTAAAAGTATGGGATCTGCGAATGGAAACAAAGCCTGTGGAGACGTATCCCGTCCACGAGTATTTGCGCTCCAAACTGTGTTCGCTGTATGAGAACGATTGTATCTTCGACAAGTTTGAGTGCTGTTGGAGCGGGGACGATCAGCGGCTCATGACCGGTTCTTATAATGGATTCTTCAGGTTAGTGCACTTTATGGCAATAGTGAAAATTTATCTGTGGGAGAGTCATGCTTTGTCACATGGGTCCATCGGTGATGATGATGGAGCCATCGGTTCGACCGGCGTGATATTACGGTCTCGAAGAAAACTGGTATTAAGCAATTTTTTCGTTATTTTGCACCGATTCAGTGAGGTTACTGGAGCACGAACCGTTCGTTCTGGAGAGGGAACCGAAAGGGCGGCAACGCGATCGTGAATCTCATGAGATTTGTTACAGGTGTCCACGAGTCTCTAGTTTTAACTGACGGATTAAGCGCGACCCGTTCCGATGGGGGGCCGAATCGACACGCCTTAAACATTTTTCATGACAATTTGAGTAATCGTTTTTTGTTGCGACGTTAGCGTAAGAATTTGAAGGTCGTCATAGCCTAGGACGAATCGAAACGTGCGTGTCTGTGTGCAGGATATTCGAGCGGGGCGGCTGCGCGGGCGGCGGCACGTGCGGCGCGCGGCGCGGCGACCTCACGCTGGAGGCGGCGCGCGACGCAGCGGCGAGACCGCGCCAGCCGCTGCGCCCGCGCCGCGTCGCCACCACCGCCAAGAGGAAGAAGGTAAGCACGGCTTCGAACATTCACCGCGCCCGCGCTGATTGATACTTATATATTTCTAAATACATACACATTATAGATAAATTTACGCCTAGCCACGAATCAAATAATTATACTCGTCACCCATTATTTCTCGTACGGGTGGGCCGGGTGGGAGCCGTATCCGCGACCGACTTTGCGGTCAGGATCGGGACGGAACCCGTCATAGATCATGCTCGCACTGCCTATACGCCGACGAAGTCGAACGAAAACTGACCTCCGTCTTTTTTCATCGCAACCCTCCGATCGACTGGGAATTTCACCATACTGCCCTAATGTCTTCGCGCACTCGATTTAAGACCGCCTATCGATCAACGAGAAGGTCTAACGAAAATAGAAAGAAATACAGAAACACGATACATATCATACCACCGCCTCGGGGGTCCTTCTATATCATGAAAGATTACCTTGTCCATCGCCATTATACAAGCGCACGTAGAGACTCTATATTTAACTCTCCTGGTGCATTCCCCAGACTAAGCTTTCTCACGAGTTGCGGTCAGGCAAATTTCAAACAATCACTTATAGTCAAACCTAACATAAATAACACAAAGTTTACTAGTTATAACAAATATTGTAATTAGGAATATAGTAGCTAAAATAATACCTACTTTTTTGTGTAGGATGAAATAAGTGTTGACTGCCTGGACTTCAATAAGAAGATACTCCACACGGCGTGGCATCCACACGAAAGCATTATCGCAGTAGCTGCCACCAACAACCTATTCATCTTCCAAGACAAGTTCTAGCAATACCCGCCAGCCGCATAGCGACCGACCTGCCACGCAACGGGGGACCGCCCATACACCTGGTATTATGCTCCTGAGTCTCCTTCGGACTACTCGTTGCTTAACCTCATGTTAGTGAACTTCTAACAGTGTACCCTCTCAGTTTGCACTAGGAACTCCAAGAAAATCATTCAAGGACGCAATTTCGCATTTTTTGTTGTTTAAATTAATTATTATTACTTTGATCATAAACTGATAAATTCTATGGAGTAGTACAGCGATAGTATTTATCCAAAATTTTCCAAATAGCAAGACCATCTTTGCCAAACAACTTTATTTTTTTTGTAATTAATTACTCAATATTGATGGTACTTCCATACAAATTACCAATCTCCATAAATCTGAGCTGAAACTTTAGTACTATTATCTAAGGATAGAGATAAACTAACACTAGTCACAAAGACTGTGGACTGTTATAGCGAAATATTCACATTTAGTTTCCACTGTTACACTGTTAGAATGGATTACGTTAACAGTATGATTCAACATTCTCTGATATTGTTGAGATGGGCTCACGCCAAGCAACAAATGTTTCCTTTAGAGGGTTTTATAGTATTATTGTTAATGTTCTGTTGATCGTAATTTTAGAGTTGGAAGTTTCTAAATTCATTTTTTTAAGTAATTTGTGCTAGTAAGTAACATTTAGTGATGTATCTGTCTTATAACAAACCGAAACATAATCTGGATACGTTTGTCATTTTCTAAATGTAATGATACGAATATTTAAAAGGAATGTTAAGTAATTAAGAATATTATTAATCTAAAATCTTTAGATTCAAGATGTCATGTTTGTTATAGATAACATCTCCTGGTTTGTCTTCTGGACATCATCAAAATGTCAGATTGCCTAAAGGAAATATAATAATATAAATTGTATTTTTATACTGAAATAGAAATATAATTATACATACACATAACAGGGAGGATTGGCACCTCTCGATATGCCAACTTATGATTTCACATAAAAAAGACTGGATATTTATTTGGCAATCGATTGAGCCACTTTAACGATCCTAAAAACATGATATCTTTTAGAAGATGAAAGATGTATCTGCATTCACAATAAAAAGTTTGTTCACAAAATATCAGTCTGTTAAATGTGTCCTCGTTGCGTCTTGCGCTAAAATATACTTGTCAATGGCAAAGGCGGCTTTCTGTGACGCGACATATCTTAAAAAAATCATGTGCACTGCATCACAATTTTTTACGCGTTTAAATCGCCGCTTGAGTTAATGAATTAATAAACACTAAATATAGACTTAGAAGATATGTGTTTAAGTGTATATTGCGCTGAACTTAAATCTGAAAGCAAACACTTACGAAAACATAAAACGATTAAATTTTTTTGTAATGTGCAAAAATCTATAATATTTTCTAAATACAGCAACATGTTTTAATAACTTTGTATGTGATGATGCATTTAAATTGCTAGTTTATCTAGAAATTTTGCATTGCACTCTTAAGCAAATGTATTAAAGTATAATAATATATTTAATAACGCGGCATATAAAACATGCTATGTGGATTGATAGGTTAGAAAAAGGCCGAAAGTAAAGAAGTATCAAATGCCTCATAATAAGTCCGTCTTAAACGTAACTACTTTAAAAGTCGATGAAAGCCGCCCTTGTTTTAAAGAAAATGTGATTTCATATTGTGTCGTTCGTGAACAAATACAAAAGAATTTATTTAAGCAATTTCTATATTGGAAAATATACAGTTCATATACATATTCCGATTTACAGTCTTTATCTACCATCTTGTGACGATATTCAAGGTTCGTCTAAAATCATTGCATTTTACAACATTTACTTACATATTTTTTGTAGACACGCTCACAATATGACATCACACCTAGGTAGATAGGAGCTAAGTCCGTTAATTCAAATGTTCTGAAAAAAAAAAGAAATAATTTATACGCTTTTCTTACTTAAGGTTCTAAGCGTTAATTAAGTATTTATTGTTTAAACATTAAAAAACCCTTTTTTTTAAGGATTTTCGAGACCCGTATTCTAGAGTTTGAGATTAGTTAGGATATCATATCGAAAGCGCTTTGCACTTTGAATGTATGGGATCTAAAATACCAATTTGATAATTTCATTTACTTTTTCTCGCGATCTTGGCAGAAGCACACTCACCATACGACGTCACTTGCAGAGTTCGTTACAGATTTTCAATCCATGCATGCCAAATTATGTTAAAAAAATATGCAAAGGTATTTCTCTAAAATTCCTGCTAAAATGTAGACGTAACCAAGTTTGTTGTCTTTGTCAACCAGTTGTAGGTAATATGGTCGCTACAGGAGTTGTAATAGAGGGTTTTGCGTTATAATGGCATAAGTGCCTTTACTTTCCACAATGAGGGGTTGTTGTTCACAAGTAGTTGTATTTCAACCTGGGCAGTTATACAAAAAGTACTTTTTGGTTTTATAGAACAAATTGAGTCGCAATTGAAACAAAATGATTTTGCAGTGCAGACAAATTGTATAGGTCTTTTTTTCTAACTTCGTAAAAAATGATAAATTTTCTTAAAACATCGTTAATCTAAGTTATCCTTAATTATAATCATTTATAAATATTGGTATCTTTATGCCGCTTTTAAGAGGCAGCACGATCTCCTTCCAATTCAGATCTCATACATTTTTAGTTTCATTAGCGCGTACAGTAATCGGCGATTCGATGAAGTTTTTACTAAAAGAAAGAGAAACTCCGCCGCCATAATAGTGTCTGTTTGTAATGTAGCTGGGTTATTTTTAGAAACCTTCTAAAGTACCCTTGTGTACCCTTTGTGTGCGTGTACCACGCACACAAAGGGTACACAAGGGTAACGCGGCTAACCTCTACAAGTTATTCGAAAGAACAAAAAATATCATATTTTGTAACTTAGTAGTGCCTGAGCCGAATATGTAGCATTTTAGGCGCGGTTTTCTTATACGATCAAATAGAATGCTTCAATTTGTTTGATAAAATTAAACCGAATTGTCCAGTGTTTTGCTTTTATTTGAGGGTAGTTATGATTTGGGGTAACAGACTCATATACTTCTTTAATTTCGCATACTATTAATGTAACGGACTTCACAGTAAATCACACTTGAAATATTGATACTTAGTATATAATAACGCAGCTATAGTACAAATATCGACTAACACATACGTAAACATGTAACTTTACAACGCAACTTTAATATCGGGGGCTCGCATACGTCATTAGCCGGAATTTCAAACGAATAATTGCTATCAGGCTCTTAGCTATGTTTTAAATTGTAGGTAGGTTTGAAATGTCTATGGAATTTCGAAGGAATTTTCGGCAAATGGCGGCCGTCTGCTCCCTGTGTGAATTACGCTGTTAGCGTTTGTTGATAATACTTTATTTATTATTATATTATGTATTTTTTTTTAACTTTGTGATTTATTTTCTTTTTTACAATGAATTGGCAATTGAACGTTTCTTGTTGCAATTATGATTAAAGTTTTACAAGTCTTGATGGGTTACGTACGAAATTCATTTTAACTTGCATTTTTTGAAATGTTTTATTTTTCACTGAAAGTATTCATTTCGTGAAAAATTTTCAGTTAAAACTTTTTTGTCATAGAAACTGTAAATAAAGTTGTGATAAAGAAAATATATGATAATATAGTGACGATATAACATAGTATAAACTGTTAAAGAATTTGCATAGAATATCGTTTAAGCCAGATAAAAGTGCGATTGCTCAGTTTGATTCGCCTGTTTATAAATAGTTTGTCGTTGAAGTGATACGTACGTGAAACGTGGCTTGTCTTCCCATTTGTATGTAGCTTTAGAACGCAAAAATGAGGTGTTGTATCATCACGGTGTTAGTAATTCTATAATTCTGCTCTCCGTAATCAGTTGTAGACACTTACATGATCTCCTGACGTACTCACTATACTTTCTTACCTTTGAGCTATGTAAACCTGACCATATTAACTTCACAAATTAGGTGTTTGTTATACTTGTTGTAGACTAGAAAACTGTATGAAGTACGATCACCAAAATATGTTCCTGGAAAGTTTCCTTTTCTGCCACTTACTCGTTTTGGAGTTTCGAATTTTGAATTGTTCTAATGCCGTAACGACACAGCACAAATCAATATCTTGCCATATCAGCTGAACTCATCAAGACACCGTTATTTCGTAATTTCGGCATATAATACTTATAAAAATGTGATTTGAAGCTTGAACAGTACCGTTATAATATAATGTAAATATGTAGTGAACGATTGAGGCCTGAACATAGTCACAATATTAATGTACAGTTAAATAATATGTACGTTTGGTAAAATTATGTTCGATTATGAATTGTTTTAGATTTGTGTCTAATTTGTGTACTCTGAAGAGCTAGCTTTTACATGTTGTTGAACGAACATTTTTACACGAAATTGAGATTAACTTGTTAAAAGATTAGACGTTGCAACGAGCGAGAATTGTCTGTCATTGTGATGACGTGATTTCGGACTGTCTCTGTTTACTATACTGCGTTAGACAGAGATGCCATTAGACGAACTAATGCATAAGTTGTCTACATACCACGTCACAACTATCTTTTATTTAAAATATGATAAACATTGTGTTAAACTAATAACTGTATTTATTTAAAACCGTTTTTACTTCAGTGTGTACGGAGACACCGACTAGTTTCTGACGCGACGGTGTCTAGGAGTCGCGTCAAGAAGTTTCACTCCTTGAAAAAGATACCCCTTTGGGTCAGAACTAGTCGAGCAAGCCCGAAATACACGTTATCTTTAAAAAATATGAATAACCATTCTCAAAAGTTTTTATACTAATTACGATATTCATTTCTTAATTCCTATTGTTACTGTGGAAATAAAAAAAATCCTTTCTGTACTCATGCTATGTATATAGTAGTGCTACTCGCGTTAAGCGATTTCTGCTGCTATCTCGCTCGTTATGTCATAATGCAATGGCGTCTGTTTCTGCAAAACTTTAAGTCTGTATAAATATATCAATAGATTTTTTACTGATCGTGTTACCTTACAAACGCCTAGTGTGTGACAAACCTCACAAATACGTTTACGTTACGTTGGTTCTCGCTAGAATTCCTTTATAATGTACGGGACAGATTGTCACGGTAGTTTTGCAAAACGGACCCCAAGTGACTCGGTTTTGTACATAGACACGTATAGCTAATATTTGTTTTAACATTCGGTCCTTATCAGGCCCTCTTCTTAATCTCCACATGTTTTTATGTTCATCGATTTGTATAGGAATTGCGTTAAGTTTTAGTTTTTTTCGTAACTGTTTGTAAGGGGCCCGGTCAATTCCTCATAGATGTCCAGATGACAGCTGAACTTGCTGTTTAGCTATGTAACAAAAAAGTGTGATATTTAAAATATGCCTATGCAGCTTGAATTGAATTGTTTTCACAAATAAGCAACTCCATAAACGTTTGTAAATGGAGAAGTTTTAAAGTATATAATTGCTTTAAAAGCAAAAATAGTATAGGAATTGACTGCACCCCGTGAGATCCACTGTAAAAATATGTCGCTCTGTAGTATAAATGCAAAGACATCTTGTATAAAGAATGGTTGAGAAGCGAGAATGAGAGCGAAACAGGTGATGAGTGAGCTATAATTTAAGTTCTAGTATATAGTTAGGTGAAAACTGTGAAAACACAGAATTAAAAAAAGAATCAGTTTTTTTTTCCTGTATCGAGGGATCAACAGATAATGCTTGATAAATGTGATAATGTCGCAATAAGCGGTGTATGGTCTGCGGACGAAATGATAATGTGGATAGACTTTTTTTTCTTTTTGAGGTACCGTTTTGCACTGTGAGGAACCTCGGATGGTTTGCTGACAACGAAACCTCGTGCTGTCGGTGTGAACGCACGCGTCTTTGCGCTGGCACGAAGTTGAAATCGGATTGTTGATGTTCTTATTCCGCTGCTACTAAAACTTAGTTTCGTAAATCTTAATTCAGCCGCTTTAAACTGCTGATTCATTTGAGGTAAAGAATTAGTGACGTAATAACAAAGCGGTCTCAACATGATGATTGCAAATTTTAGTTATTTAGTATGCCAATTTCAAATAAAACGACGCTATTAAGGTGACGTCATTATTTTCCATATTTGAATGAACAAACGATTATAATTGTGACTTGTCCATAGTAAAAGTTATTTTGCGGTGTTACAAGACTATAAAAATCAATGTGCCATGATGAACGTCGGCGCGGAGGCGCATGCGGCTCACACGGAAAGAGTTGTTGTTAAATCAAAATATTTCCTATAAATAATAAAATTTTTATATCTGACTCAGAGTTTTATTTAAATAATTAATTTTTCTAACTTACTGATTCCAATGGGAATTAGGGTCAAAAAGCAGATGACATCTGACCCAGTAGAGTAGAACATTTATGACGTTCATAGTTATGGAACCATTAAAAAAGCAATTTGATGAAGACTTTTCTTCTGAAGTCCGCTGGTCCCTTAGAGATTAGATATATGTTAAAGAAGCTTATAGACGCTTTAATGAAATAACGAACGAGGAAACAACTGGTTTATTTACACATACTCGTATATGTATTTAGAGTCTAACAATTTATGTCAATAGTAGGTGAGTGAGACCCCTATTATCTGAGCGCGCGCGGTGTTAATGTTCACCACATTAACACCGCGCGCGCTCATTGGTCAAATCGCGCGCGCTGTCCCCTCTTTCTACTTAAATCCCATGGGTAATTAACCCAGGGGATTGTACAACACATTATTCCATTTCGATTCCCAGGGAATTACATAACACTCAACATTCCACTCCGATCCCCTGGGTTCTTGACGCATATACCTACATTATAAAGATCTATATATTTACAATATACTGGTTGGTAACTATTGACATTGCGTAACTGTCGTAAATTAATAATTTTATTGTCATGCACAAAATATATGTATTATTCTAAATTTATTTAAAATTTTCAAATAATGCAACGTAGAGGTCAGCTATGATTACATGATGGATACAAATACCACCGTAAATAGTAAATAAGAATGATTGCGGTTTTACGGCGTTGTAGTATGTTATAGTTAATAATAAGTAAATTAAAATATAATTAATTACTATACCCGTCTGGCCAGCGTGGTATAGTAGGCCAAAACCTCCTTTCTGAGGAGAGGCCTATGTCCAGCAGTGGGCTAGTAAAGGCTGTTGATGATGATGATGAAATTAAAATATATTTGATATTTAGTCAACTTTTTATTTTCGGTTTACAAGGAGTGTGTAAGTAACTGGTTTATTATTATCAGAGGGGACTAAAAGGAAATAAACTAATTAGTATTTGTTGAGACCCCAGCAAAGGTATCTTAATACAGGTTATCTGTAGTGTAAATGATAAATGAAAGCATAAAAACATATATAAAAGTCTTTATTCATAAATAGGTATACACAAATCACATGACATCACGTCACCACATCGGCAATATTCTCTCAAAGAGAAGTAAATACAAATATAACCTACATTAGAAGCTACTAACAAATGCTTTTACTAAAATAATAATGTATCCAAGTCAAGGTCTCTTACAATTCTCACTTGAAGCGTGTCTGCTTGTGTCCTTGAATTAAGAATTTACTAGTCTACCTAAGTCTTGGATCTATTTTCAATACTCAGGAAGCACTCGCACGTATTGTGAACTAGCATAATTTAGCAAGTTGTATAAATTACAGTCCTTAAAATATGTTTTTAAAACTTTTTTGTTTTTTACAACAAGTGCGATAAGTACTTGATTTTTGACAATACTATCCGAGGCAACCACCTAAAAACCATTATCATCTAGTCCGTCGTTTACAAGTGTGTAAGTTAATTTAAAAAAAAAGCCTCAAGACCGTTTATAAACATGCAAACTGCATTAACATACACGACTTTCGGAATGTTTCTAGCCTACCCTCCAATTTTAAAAGATTTAGTTCCGAGCACTTTTTTAAAATTACACTACGTCCCATACTACAATTTCTCTCCTCCAACGCTTTCCCATTCTATATTTAATTATTGCCCGCAGTAATATACTGCCATATTATTAAATATTTTTAAATTATCTGTAGAAAATTTAATTCTGTATTACCTGAGACTTAAACAGTAAAAGCTATTTACAAGCTAACCGACAAGGCAGTCGGTAGAAACTTTACAATTGGTTCTTATTTCAGACCGATTTTCACAATTCAATTTGCAAAGAGCAGTAAAGTTTTACGTTCGCTTTCGCTTAATTCGCTCGACATTAAATCCGTTAACAAAATACGCAATTTACACACTGAGTGACTTGGCGCTCTGTAAATAATATTATTGTAATGTAAAGCAGGGTAGTTTCTTTCCCATAACCTACAAAGATTTTAATCTGATAACATAAAAAAAGATTTATTGTTGAAAATTTTGAGAAAAATCTGCAAATGCAATTTTGCTGTTTTTTTTTTGAATATTTAAAAAAATTAAAAGACGTTTACTATTTTACATGAATAATAATTAACTTTGACAAAGTTTACAAAGTTATATGTAGCTATAATGCTTATCAAGTTATAATACTTTGTTATTCTTAGTTAGTTATTCTTAGAGCACATCTTCCGTCCACAAAAGTACCTTTAGAAGTAGCCAAAGTTGTATATATTCCAGTACCCAGTATTATAACTCCTTGCATTACATACTAACTTGTTTGAAACTTTCTACTTAAACATTTCATCTTTCGATTCTGTTTGTCCACCATGTGCGTCCTGCTGGCGGTGTCATGTCCAAATATCGGTGTCTCATCGAAATAAGCACACAACTTGCACACCACCGACTTAATTGATTACCTACATAATTATATCAATTCACATTTCCACAATTCACCTATCACCATAAAGTACGAAAATAAGGTTTGGTGTAAGAATCTTAAATAAACTAAATACAATCTTAAACAATAATTAGTCACAGGTTTTAATCGATTCATTATTTAATCAATAACATCTGATGACGTAAAAGATCTCCCTATATATCCGTCAGCTGTGCCACACAATCATGTTACCAAAGACAAGAGAGATTTACAACATATAAAATAATTATTTTATTTAATAGAACAATGAATTTCGCTTATTGTAAAAGTTAATAAACATAAAACAATGATCATAGTAAATTAGGCAAATTAGATATCACAATTTTTATTACATGTTGTATAATTTTTTTTTCTATATTGGATATTCACGTCATGGTCCTTTTAGATGTTGTCCAATATATGCCATATATTGGCTGATGTTGACTAAACACATTAGAATGAATTATTTAGTTTCAAAAATCACTTGACTTCGTTTTTAAAACTGCCCTACGTTTTCTTTAATCTTAATCTAAGGTATATTAAAGCTAGGGTGATCACTATCCATGCTATTGTGACCAGAAATCCGTGATAGACGGACGGTTCGGTTATTGAAGCTCCCTTTTCCGTGACATCTCTCAAGGACTTTGAGGGTATCGTGAAAGGGAGCGTAAGGGCGATATATCTTAGACCAGTTGACATACCCTCTATAGGCCATAGGATACCTGAAAATGATAGAAATGTTATTTATCTTAATATTTAAATTTAAATAAATAAAAATAAAGTATCGGTTAAATCATAATAACCGCGTTTTACTAAATTCACTTGAAGGTTTACATGGTATATATTACCAAAAAACCCACGATCAGTTTTTTTCTGTCTATCTGTTTGTACCGGTTAATCTCATTACCAGGTAAACCAATTTTCACGGGGTTGTATATTTATTTACAAGAACCTTTAAGTAAAAGTAAAGAAGAAAGTAGTATAGTAGAAAAAGTAGAAAGTAGTATCTTATTTTGTAATCTCAATTATAGGAGAAAGAGATCGAGAGAGTATCTTTTTTTCTGAAATAACAGATTTTGTTCAGTGCCTGCTTATTATTAATCCACTTCTTTAAATAATATTTACTAACCACATAACAGTATCATAGGGTAGAAGCTTCCAGTAGCTACGAAGAACGACATGGTATGACTCGAGCAGTACACGGATAGTAAGAACCCGTAACACATGCCACAGATACCTTGCAGGAAGAGCAGTATGCCACAGACCAGCTTGGACCCTTCCGAAGGGATCCCGTAGCCAGCAAAGGCTAACGCCATCATTTCTACTGTCTGAAAGAGATAAGAGAATATTCATTGGCTAGGGTAGTAGGTAGATGGTAGATTTAGGTACTTTCTCATTTACGTGAAGTTACCCGAAGATTTAAAAGACTAATTGAGGGAGGGCATGGCAAATGTCTTCTTAATTTGATGGCGCTAGAAATGGTCAGTAAAGCTTTACATGGAGTTTCTTTTTTTTTAAATTCAGTTTTTGATTTTTTACAGTCAGTGGTAGCCGTTTGACTATTGATCATGCCTGATATTATATAGCCTATAGCCTTCCTCAATATAAGGGCTATCCAACACCAAAAGAATTTTTCAATTCGAGCTAGTAGTTCCTGAGATGAATGCGTTCAAACTTGTAAAAAATCTAATCAGTACCTGTAACAGTATGACAACAGACTGTAAGGTGATGTGCACGTTGAGCATCTCTCGCGGTTTGACGCCGGCCACGGCGCTGCGCTCCCAGACGCCCTCGAGCCGGTCCGTGATCATCAGCGTCGACGTCACCACCGCCGACAGGAAGAAGATAATTCTGTCGAGCGTCGGAGAAGATAAATGAGTTTCATTGAACTGAACGTAGGGACTTGAATGTAAAATAAACGAATTTACTTGTTTAATACGGATCACGTGGTGGTGTTTGCTCCCTTAAGTTAAGTAACTCGCATTAGGGCTATATACTGAACACGCTGAGCTTTCAAAACCATGGTGTTGTTTACTTATAACAGGGTATTAAAGAGTATCCGTTAATGGTACTTACGTAATAAGGATACCAGGTGCCATGAAGCTGGTAATTTGGGGTTCACTCTTGCCATACACCGGCTTTTGAAAATGTACAGGAATCTGTTTACACAGAACATCATTAGACACTACATCTTAAAACGTGGTGTACAATTTGAAAATAGGTTATTGGCTAAAGTCCAATAATTTAGTTTATAAGAAATGTTACAGCTTTTTTTTAATTCAAAAATGTGTTTAAATACTCACAAAGTTAACATTATAATACGCTTTTACACATCATCACATCAACAGCCTTTAATAGTCCACTGCTGGACATAGGCCTCTCTTTAGAAAGAAGGTTTTGGCCTACTATACCACGCTCGCCAGACAGGTTGGTATAGGTTTTGTGTCAAGTTTTCCTTCTTTTTGTAGTGCTGTTGTCCTGCGTAGTTTGTTTTCTTAGTCGGCTCTTACGACATCCAAGGGATGACTAGGGGTAGTGACATTCCGTATTCTTAATCCGTCACCACGACGTCACGCTTTTACTTAGCATAATAAAAATATTTTTTTTCCAACGTTTAACAGAATTAACGTTTCAAACAAGACTTATTTCACAAGAAAATATACTAATTTATATATTTCAAGTGTAGACGTGACATAATATGACATATACGTAATAAGTAAATATAATAATGACAATGGCTGCGTATACATACAATAAACATACATACATATATTCCAAAAACCTGTGATATTATTTTTGCGTTACCTTTGTTTTTAATACAATGTGAGATAACTGGTCAGATCTGAAACTGTGCATACACTAAAACATGATAAATATTAATATATTGTGCAAGCGAAATCATTTTCATCTGTATTTTAGTGATACCTACACATATACATACATACCTACATTTAAAAGCTTGGTGTTCAAATGCGGCAGTAAAAAGCAACGTAGGTCATAAATGCATTTAAAAAACCACAAAGTTCAATACATAGAGAGAGAAAACGGGGTACAGCTGCCTGTAAGTGGAAGCGATACAGGCAACGAGAGAGATGGATGCGCGATATTTCCCTCTGTCTGTTTTGCTTTCTGTTTAGCTCAGCTGCGGCTACTTATAAGCCCCTCATATTCCCCAGCAAACCACAGAGCTCGACTAGAAAGATATAGAGGGGAATATCTGTTATCCATCTCTCTCGTTGCCTATATTGCAAGATTGGGGCTCCTGTTCTCTCTAGGTTATATTTCTACGTTTCAATAACATGCATGATAAAAAGTAAAACAAAAATGATTAGTCTATGACAACATGATGGCAAAAAAGGCACAATTAGCTAGTCAATGATAAATAACTGATAAATACAAAATATTAATTATAAAAAAATGTGCATCTTCTAGATTTAAATAAGTAGAAAATGAGTGTTTGTTGAGATTATTTTCCAGTCGTTTATAAAAAAAAACCATTAACCTTTTATACTGGATAGTAAAGATAGTAACAAAGCTGGTTTAGAAAGAAATGAGTTAAGATTAACTAACTTCTTCCTTTGACTAACGTCAATATTTACGTACGTATTAAATAAGTAGCGTCAATATTTACGTACGTATTAAATAAGTAGCGTCAATATTTACGTACGTATTATAACGTATCAATGCAATGAATGTAAAAGATCCTAAATGCATAATTACTTAAGATGGAAAATATACTAACAAATACATATATAGGTACGAAAATAAATATTAGAAATGTGATGCCTATGCATTCAAGTGCGTTCACGGCGTCCCGGCGTCCCTCCCAGCAATAGACAACGTGCCTAATTAAATTGCCGCTAAAAATAAATTACCTGTATTAAGTTCTCGTGCCTGCCGCAAGCGATCATGGTACGCCGGGTGAAACTCTCGTACGTCTTGTGAAGTTGGGTCTTTATAAAGTTTGATATTTGATGATCTATAATGTAAAATAACAACTTAATCGTAGGTACTGTTAATAAGGCTAAGGCATTCCAAGCGTCCATATTCTTATACAAATAATATATATATATGACTCAATATGTCACCCAAGCGTTTTGAAAGTGTATAAGAATGAAAAGCATCAACGATGAAGACTAAGATGGGAAATTATGATTGGAATTTCGAAGGTATGTCATTCTATCGACTACTTATATAAATCGCAGGAGATTACAGCTTACAGAGTCTAGTTCGAGTTTATTTTACATTAACGATTGGCTTGCACTGAACTCTTCGCCGTTCTAGTGCTTTGTTATATAAAAACTAGGTAAAGGGATAATAACCAGATATCAAATGGTAACAGCGTGCTACATACTGTAATAATACAATTAAAAACGAATTGAGAAATAATTTTCTTTCTATAACTAATACTAAATCCGAAAAAGAGGATAAACAAACATATTTTTTTTAATATGACAAAGTCCAATAAGTATTTGTATACTCACTAGTCATATCCAACCAAACGTTGACACTGCTGTCGTCCACGATATCATCTTCTACTTCTCCTTCTGCAACCCTCCTACCTAAAGCGTAGCTAAAGTTGCGAGAGAAGCGAATGGCTCCGTACAGTCTACCGGTGGCGACAGCTGTTTTGGCTTCTTCTGATGTATTGTACGGCGTCTGGTGAAAATTGTATTTATTATATTAATTCTAATGAAGTGAGATATACCAACAAATTTTCATTATTATGTATCGGATGGAGGAGACTACCCAGCAATGGTATATGAACCTGGCCCTGACCTGTTCGATCCATTGTTTGTATTCCCAATCTATCCATAAAGCAATATGCTTATAGTACCATTGTATTCCCTTTTTTTCTATTTTCAGATTTAATACATTCTGTAATTGCCACACTAATACCTAAAGTGTCTTCTTCTTCTTCTTTAACAGCCTTTAATAGTCCACCGCTGGACATAGGCTTCTCCTTAGAAAGAAGGTTTTGGCCTACTATACCACGCTGGCCAGACGTGTTGATATAGGGTTTGTTTCAAGATTTCCTTCTCTTTGCTGTCTGTTGTACCGCGTAGTTTGCTCCCTTAGCAGACTCTTACGACACACACGTAAAGTGTCTGGTTGACAACAATACAAGCAAAATGTCGGTATTTAATACGTCTCTGTCTAAACTTTCATGGATACAGTGATTAATGTGTACTATATGTGTGTATACATGTATGTATGTACGTAATATATGTAGTTAATATAAAAAAATACCCAACATGTCTTAATGTGTACCTTAAATAAACATAGCCAGTAAAATTGAGCCTAAAACACGGATTAACACTAATATTAGAGAAATATTTGCACTGCGTACGACTTCAACCTACAAGCCGTTAGTCGACAGAATAGTTCAACGTGTGACTTGCATTATAAATGTTAACTAACAGGGTATAATTTCCTTTTCTCCATTTCTTCTAAGAACCAGCAGCTAAGCATGTACACGTCACAAGTATCGTCCTTGAAGTTCTGTGTCGCCGGCTGAAGACTGCTGTTCCTGCAAATGGCTAGACCATCTGAAATTACAAAAAGAAATATTTAAGGATATATTGAAAACTATATAATGTTATTTTAACAATAAATAAACAATAACTTTTTGTATAGTGAAATCAAAAAGTTATTTTGTATAATGTTGATGGATTACTTATCCAAACAAAATAAAAAAAAAACCTAACATTACTCCCAAATGATTAATCACTGTTATATTGGAAATGTGAGTTCTTCTTAAATTAAAAATATTTAAAAGGTGTTAAGTATTAGGTACGCTAAAATTAAATCAATTTAATTTCTAACATAATATTATTAAAAATAAATAATATTCTACCACATTCACACAACACCATCTAGTCCCAAACTAAGCAGAGCTTGTACTATGGCTACTAGACAGCTGATATAAACACATATATACTATTTTTTTTTTGTTAATACATACTTATTATACATAGAAACACCCAGACCAAATCAAACATTAAATGTTCAAGCACACATATGTTTGACTTCAGCGGGAATCGAACCCGCGACCTTTGGAATAGCAGTCCGTTACACAAACCACTACGCCATCCGGTCGTCAGTTATTGTAGTGATAGTGATCTAACTAGCACCATCTACCGAATCCAAGTGGAACTACTTACATGGCGAAAAGCTGGCTTCATCGTTAACAACAGCGAGATGCAGATCCCTTGGATCGTGTCCCACCGCGGAAAAGAACGCCACCACTTGAATTATGGGAAACAGGATCGAGAATATTAGACCTCTGAAAAAAATATAGATTTTATTTATTTAGTTTGTCGTACTCTTTCTAGCGTTTGATGTGATTATGAAGAGAGATATCTATTGAACTCATTCTGACTCTATTCTACATCTCACATTCGAAGATTACATTGCATATCACTAAGCAATATTTTTTCTGGCCAAAAATAAGCCAAACTTGTGTCCCAGGTAAACAAGTTGCGCTTGTTTTGGGAGAAGGCAAAAACATTTAGCATGGAAAAATTATGTTTTTACACTTCAGTGATGTTTAAATGTTTTTTTGATGACCAGTGCGAAGGCAATGACGAACGAATTGGCATTGTGATTATATGCAAATTTGAATGATGAATAAATCATGAGAATGAATTAAAGTGGTGTATTATTTTTTTCGTCCTTTTAAATTCTACCTAAATACGCCGATTAAAGGTCAATAAACGATATGGTCACATACCCTGGATGCCTTGAGAACTGCTGTATGCTCTTAATAAAGACAGCCTTATATCTAGACTGCGATAATCTCTTGCTGTCTTTAGGACTTTTTTCCTTTTTTGTTAACACCTGAAATAAAAAAATAAATGGTTAATAGTAATCAGTAGTCGGGTAATTTTTATTTTAATAATTAGGTTCGGTAACCGTGTCAATGGACTGGACAGTTATTAATATGGTCTCAAAAACTGGTTTATAATGATAATATCAAAAGTTCTTATGGATCATAATTTATAATTATTTAATAATATATAGCATTTGATAAGTATGTAAAAGTTTACATGTAGGTACGAACAACATTTACTTTAGTTTCTTCTATATGGTTTTACGTATTTTTTGGTAAAAGTACCGAATTTTTTTGATCATTCATTGCTTTTTTTTGTTTTGTAAATAAAAGTAGGTAAAATTTTATTTGTTAGAATGGAATAAACTTTATTACACATCAGTTCAGTTCAGCATACATACAAGAGTACATCAACTTAAACACCATGTACAAATGGCGGCCTTATCCCTAAAAAGCAATTACTTACAGGCAAGCATGTACAAATCGACGAGTTCAGGGGTAGTTTTGGTGTGAAAAAATGTAAATGAATCATAACATATTAATACAGAAAACAGATTTCCATAAAAGTAAATAACTAAAGTATTTTTGATTGCAATGCAGTCAGTCCTAAAAATACTCGTATAAATACATATTAATACACAATATAAATAATATGTAAAGCATATGCGCAATTATATAAATAAATATATACATACATAATATCTATTTCTTAATGCGCAGATCTCTAAAATTATGCCCAATTCAAGTTTGTACATTCCTGTCTGTGTATAAATTTGATAAGATGCAATTTTTAGTATCGCAATTATAAAGATTGACATCGTTGATTTTACTAAGAATTTACTCACATCTGTACTACTTGTGATCGTGGGGAAATCGTCCCTGGAGTGGTAAAGGTTGTCCACGCCTGGTGCACTGTTCGGGATTACGTCGGGTGAGGAAGATGTCAGCGCTGGAAAATACATTCAATTACTGGATATAACCCACTGATCATGGATATAACCGACTGATCATGGCTAACCGATCGATATCATTCGACCCATGAAACGCAATTATCCAGTTGTGTTTCTTGGGTCAAATTCAAAAAGCTCGCCAAGTACCGACTGGGTAAGGTTGAAACACAAAATCATGGCACTGTTGTTCTTTCAACATATTTAAATAAGCTCTGGAATAGATAAAAAGCGAACTTGAAACCTTAAATGGATTAATATTATATACACTTACTGGGCCGTCGCCTAGGAGGCATATCGTGCTGCAGAAGCGCCAGCTTTAGGAAAGCATCTTCGAGCGTATCGCAGTCAAACTTACGTAGAAGCTCTTCAGGTGAGTCTTCGGCGAGGAGCTGTCCATCGCGAAGTAGACCAATCTATTAATAAAAAAGAATTACTATTATTAGGCGACATGGACTTCGAAAGTCAGAGGTACAATTTTTTAACCTTTACTTGAATACAAAATATTCTGCTGTTCTTTTAAGGAGAGTGAAAGCTTCAGATGTATTTTTTTTTCCAACGATTTATATCTTTCGATATGTGTCCGTATCTTTTACCTTGTGTGCCTGCTTTGTTTCGTCAATGTAGTGTGTCGTGATGATGACTGAGGCTCCTCCACGAGCACACTCAGCAAGGAAATCCCATATCCTGGAAACAAGAAAACATACTATTCAGAGAAAGGTTTGGTTTCTTCTTTACCCTCCAAAGAAGCCAACAGCATCAGCATGCATCTAATTGGCTTTTTTAAGTGTTCGCACATGTGTTTTAAGTGTTGCATATCAACTCGCTCTCGACGGCGACCGCTTTCAGTGTTATGATTGGTCAAGATTTCAGTGCGGACCAATCGCCGAACGCGGTCACCGGTCACCGTGACGATCATGTTTATGTACAATAAACTCACACTAGGCCCTAGAACTAGAACGTGAGGGTATCAGGGTCTGGCAGATCTGTACTTACTTATTTATAATTACAAAGAACTTTGCGACTTAACACTTGGCACGCTGTTCTGATTTCATCATTTTGTAATGATATTGTGGGAACTGGCTCATTTTGTAATCCATTTCATGTATTGTATGAGCAAATTGTGTGATCAATAATTATTGCTAGTGTGAGTAAACATACTTATTACATACAAACATACGTATTATTTAGAAGTATCGAAATCATCCATTTCAAAACAAATATTACAAAAGCCTTCATTAAAAGACGACCAATGCCTTGCCCTTCTAAAATAATAACAATAAATTGACATATTTCACACCTCACACGGCCCTTTAATCATAAACTAGGTCAGGGCTATGGTAACCAAACTAAATATATAATATTGTAGATTAATCATACCCAGAACAAATGATCGTGCTTATCATACAATTATTTACCGTGTGGGAATCAAACCCACGACCTCTGGCTTAGCAGTTAGGATTAGATTACTATACCAAGAGGACAGTAGCTAATAAGAGGCTTCTAAAATAAGTTTGAATTTTATAATTAGGTATAATAGATAATATACTGTAAGTTAATAAATGGCCAAGAGAGTAATAGAGTTGCAGAGTGGCCAATAGAGTGTATAGTCCTGTATTTATTTTTGTATTTAACTATGTAGCTGTAGCGTACACAAACCCACTTAACATTTTATATGTATATTTATATTAACGTGGATTTTTAGGTGTTTTTTTAAAATTTAATATCAGTTTATTAAACTTGACCGTGTGATTGATGTAGGTCTGTGGATTCAGTTTGCGAGCAGAACTTTGCTATTCCTTAACAATAACTGGCAAGAAAAAAGTGAAAATCGTATTAGACAATCCATATAAAAAAGACATATCAAATTTCGCCTAAAATACATATCGTAGCAATAACCAATACCCAATATTTTTTTTACAAATATACAATTTCTGCTAAAGAAATTTGTCTTTTTTTCTTTGTCACGATTTTATTATGTTTCTAAGAGGGAAACCTTTCAGCACACCTTGATTGATGAGGCAATCATCAGCCTTCAGTAGTTCACTGCTGAACATAGGCCTCTTCTTAAAAAGGCGGTTTTAGTTTACTATACTACGCTGGCAAGACGGATTGTTATAGGGTTTGTTTCTAGTTTTCCTTCTCTTTGCAGTGCTGTTGTCCTGCATAGTTTGCTGCCTTAGTCGGCTTTTACGACACCCACGGGATGAACAGGGGTGGTGACACTCCTGTATTGGACACACTGGTATTCTTAATCCATCACCACATGAACAGTTGTGCTTAAACTAGTCTAAACAGAGCGATGACAACAAGATTATGAAGAATGATTCGAGTATCACCCACTTTCTACACTCAGTAACAAACCCGTAGGGATTGTTTAACACCGGTTTCCTGTGAGGCCGTCGTATCACTCCGGTCAAAAGCTCGTCCATTAGTGCCGACAGATGTCTCTCCCACGGTCAAAACGGTATCTGACATAGAGGTATAGCCATAGAGAAAACATGGGATACAGCTGCCTGTAACTTACAGGCAGATGTATCCCATGTTCACTTACAGGCTGTAAGTGAAAGTGATACTGGCAACGAGAGAGATGGATGCTCGATAGTTCTCTCTGTCTCTGTTTAGCTTACCTGCGATTATCTACTTATTAACCCATCATATTCCCCAGCCAACAACAGAGCTCGGCTTGAAGGAGATAGAGAGGACTAATTCTTATCCATCTATCTCATTGCCTAAATTGCAAGATTGGGGCTCTTGTTCCCTCTAGGATATATCTCTATGGTTTCCAATAGTTATTTTAAATAAAGCATTTTATTTTTCAAGTTCTCAGCAGATGTACACAATAGCAGTTATAGCCATGGCGGGCAAAACATTTTATAATAGAGTACCATTGAATTATTATTGTGAAGGCTACATGCTCGCACTTAATAATTTCAAAGCCCATCGACCTTAGGCTTTGATGAGGCTTTATTCGTACAAGTAAATACGGTTTCAAGTGTTTATTTAAGTATAAGAGGCTTTTAATATCACCAGATATTTGTTTGTTTAGTCGTGTGTTTTTCTGTATTACGTAGGTTACGAGGACGGTAGGATACAAGGTCGTATGTTTTTAACTGATTCGAAACACGGAGGAACTTCTCAATTTGTTTGTATTTTTTTTTATGTTTGATGTCTCAGAACTCCGTCATTTGGGAACCGATATGGAAAATCAGTCACTAAATGAAATGGAACAAAAGAATTGCCTAACACAGTTTTCTGTTAAATCATGATATCACTCCGTTCGAGCCAAACCATGGCTCTACTGCGGTCATAAGAAATTATACTTAATGTAATAATGACAATAGTCCGTAATTGACTCCACTTAGTATCAATATTGCGTCAGACGGCCTAGTATTTCACATCTGCTCGCTCTTAACGGCGAGCGCGTTCGGCATTGAGATTGGGGAAGAGTTCAGTGCGAGCCGATCGCAACGCTGCGGCGGTCCCCGTGACGATCGAGTTAAGGTGAAATAAAGTCACACTCAGAGGACCTCCTCTGTTGTTTACGAGTCTCAGGTAACGCAATCTATCTCCATACAGGCTGTTTGTAGCTCAGTAACGTTAAGGACGGACGTGATCGGAATTATAATCGTTGATTTGTTCATACTCTTTGGTTTATACGATGACAGATTGAGTCTGTACATATCTTTGATAATGTGTCAGAGGTTAGGTCATATATCTTTCTATTTAATTTATTGGATAGTTCAGTTTCAGGCGCCGTTCAAGTCGTTTCAACAATACTCTGCAATGATTCTACGCGCGGGATGGTCTATAAAGGAATTACGTTCACACACCCAAAACTCTCGTAATCTTCTCGTAATACATATAAAATTACTTGCCCTGACTGACTGACTGACTGATTCATCAACGCAGAGCGTAAACCGCTATCGCTACAAACTTGGAATTTAGGCAACTGATGCAAATGCTGCATGCAAATAAAAATGTTGTACGTGAGCACCCACTAAGAAAGGAATTTTAGAACAGTTGTATGGATGTTTTTTATTTATAGAGTTAAAAACATGAAATAAGAAATAAACTACCAACCATTTTAATTTCTTAAATATTTATGTGTATAAAAGATTACAAAGTATTCAATAAACATTCATCATTCATCGGGCTTATTAGAGCAAGCGACATGGGATAGAATGGGGTATAACGGATGTCCTAGAAGACTTTGACTATGCTGATGATCTATGTCTGATGAGTCACACGCACCGCGATATGCAGACCAAATTAGACGTCTTGCATCATGGGTCTTAAGAGAAGAAGACTCAGGAGATGCGATCTGGTGTAGAAACTCGTACACCACTGCGGATTGATACTAAGGACGTGGAACGCGTCCACAATTTTACCTACCTCGGAAGTGTCGTGCCGGAAGCAAGGAGTACAGAGGAAGACATAACTTGACGCATGCCAAGTCCCGAGCTGCCTTCGTACAACTCCGGCAGTCACGAAAACTGACTCATCAGATTAAAGTCAAGGTATTCGTGTCCAACGTAAAATCGGTACTGCTATATGGGTTCGAAACGTGGAAGGAAGCCATTTCGATCCGCTCCAGGTCTTCGTTAGCCGCTGCCTTCGCCGAATTCTTGGGGTATACTGGCCCGAGAAGATCTCCAATGAATATCTGTTGAAACGCTGCCACGAATTACCGATCTAACTCTAGATCAAGCGCCGTAAGTGGAACTTGATTGGCCACACTCTGCGTAGGGACATCGAAAATATCGCCAAACAGGCACTGGACCCTCAAGGAAAACGAAAGCGTGGCCGCCCAAAACACAAACTTGGCGGCGCTTTGTCGCAGATGAGGTGAAGAGAATTGGCAAGAAGTGGAGCGAGGTCAAGTGCGAAGTTCAGGATCGAACGCGATTGAGGACTATTGACGACGCACTCTGCCCCATCTTAAATGGGATGGGACTTAGGATATTATGTTAAGTAAGTCATCAGCCTATACTGTATAATGTTTAAGTTGGGCAATTTACAAAGAGAGTAAGTGAACTGCAACTCCCCCGAAGGTCCGGATGTGTTAATAAAAACTGTTCCCGGATACCTCCTATTTAATGCACGCAGCGGTTCTGCGGAAAAGAATGCTGTATTTCCTTAACAGGTTTTGATGACATTTGAATCTATGCCTCGACTAAACTATGTTTATTGACAGGTATTAAACGTACATTATATAGTCTATGGTACGTGAATAAAGTTAGTAAATCTCCTTTGGACGTTCAGCCTTTATTGCGAGACCTGACAACACCTGACACGATCATTTGTCTTTTTTGCGACACTTAGGTTGGTACCATTGGGAGCTCATTGATGCAAGTCGTTCGAATCGTTGCCAAACGATTGCAGGTCCACAGGTCCGCAATTGAGAAACAGATGCTTGTTTTGTTCTACTCGATTACATTACAGCCAAAGGTACTACTATGTACTCGTAATATGTATTCAACAAAATCGAATCGTGAAACATCTTATGTTAAATACTATAATCTTACCATAATTAATCAATAAGGAATATCGACTAATGCACCTTAGTTATAACTTTATTTTATACCAATATATATTAGGCAATAAGTGTGATTTGTTCATTTAGTCGTTAAAAATATGCTTATGGTTATGCAACCGTCTATTAAATCCTTACATACGTCGCTTTTCACGTCTTTCTGTATATTTGCCAACTCCTTAACCACGCCACGAATTTAGATGCGATATTCATCATCAGATAGATAATTTTAAACCTAATTAAGTTCTGTTTTAAATCTCTTCTGACAAAAACGGTTAAGTATTTAGTAAAATACTTAACCGTTTTTGTCAGAAGAGATTTTTGCTTGTAGTAACAAGCTGTCATTTATATCGCGTGAATTACGGTAGGAGGGATCGTGAGAGAAGCTATTCTAGAATACTTTTTAGTTTACCGTACAGTGAGTTAGATACATGTCTATGAATGGTGTACGGAGCGCATCCATATGTAAAGAAGCGTAGTCTCTCCGACGGTCGAAATTCTTCACAGGCGGTTCGTATTTGAAGGTAATAAATTAAATACTTTTCCTCATATGGCAGGTCACGAACACACTTTACAATGAACGATTTTAAAGAAATTCAATGTCTGCTGACGCAATACTTTCCGAGCCATTGTTACCAATATCAGTGGCCATTGATTAGCATCAGGGCTCAACAATGAGCATCCGTGTTTGAACAATACCTAAAACGAAGATATGTTGAGCTCAGCAAAATGTATTGTTTGGAAAGGACGTTTGATTTCCGAAAAAGAGTATTAAATTTAGTATTGTATGTATGTATGTACATATATGATTGCAGGATTATTGTAGCGGAACTAGATGGGTTAAAAAAACTGTTGTATCGAAACATCCATATTTTTGAAAAAAAAGAAGGATTATTTATTTTTGAATATCGATTTAATTTAAATTATATTTTTTAAATATAATTAATTCAAATTATAACAATATAATAATAATTAATTAAAATTAAATTAATTTAATTTTGAATTTGAATGTATGTATATTAGGGCTCGACTGGAGTGGTACCACAGCCTCACAGAAAACCGGTGTTAAGTAATTCTTTCGTTGTTTTTCACCGAGTGAGTGACGTCACCGGAGCCCAAGCCCCCTCTTGTCCTGATTCTGGGGATGGAACTTAAAGGGCGGTATTGCACTATTGCACTTGTGCCTCTGAGCTGCAGTTGTCCATGGCGATAGTCACTTAACACCAGGTGACAGGTCTGCTCGTTTGCTTCCTATACCATAAAAAGGGTCTTAAGTTTTACTTGCTATTTGATTTGACGGATTTGACGCGCGCTGATCTAGAGTGGGCCGTCAGATGTTTTTTGATTCTTATTTGTGCAATGACCGAATGAATGAATGAATGAGGATGTCGAATACAAATACAATAAGTATAACATAAGTAGACGTTTTTGTACAAAAAAGTCACTTATAAGTAGAATGTTTTTACTAATGATGACGTAAAATAGTAATTCGTTAAGGTTTTTACGAATTCTTAAAGGTCATTTATTATTTAACTAACTTTTGACTACGATTACATTCAGGTTTATTAATTTTATTAAACAATTCAGGCATTTGAAAACTACAAAAAGAAAAGTACTTATATTTAGAAAATAGACGAAAGATATTCTAAATTATACTGTACCTATAATTAAATGTAGACAAAATTTAAATGATCGTTTGAAGAGTAACGACGTCAAAGCGTAACAAATCTATTTATTTTCATTACAATAGTTAGAATTCATAACCTTAACAATAAACTTTGTGAATTACGGAAAAAAACCCTATACAAAAGAAGCAATTACATAGAATGAACTAACGAACAATGTAGCTAGCTTGTAGTAAATTATTATGATGACATGACAGTAATTAGTAGGTATTAACGTACACAAACCATATTTTTTTATTACGATTTTATATTATTCCGACATTGACACTGCGAATTGGTTTTGCAACCTGGGTGACGCAGGCTTTACGTTGTCTGAATTCAGTATTTTTGCAGAATTATTTGTTTCATTTGTCAACTAAAAATACCTTTCGTATGTGACATTAAAACCTTTGGTTGAGGCCAATTCGGCGGATCCTAAATCTTCCCTCCCCATACTTTAATAGAATTTGTCTTCTTTCTGCGTTCAGTCTGGAAAACGATTTCATTCCCAAGGAGTCATTTGAGTGAAGCAGGCAGGCGACCAGCCATTAAACTAGTTAGTACAATTTAGTACTAGTTAGGTGTAGTAAACGAGATTCTGACTATAATAATTGTATAATAGTTTTGTAAGCTTTTTCTTGGTATTTTATATCCAGGGTTTCCTAAAAATAGGGTTTAATTTAACATATATTTTTAACTCTTTCAATATATTTGGGATGAATATCATTGCGGTTTTCAAAACCATTAAACTATCTAAGTTTACTCCTTCCTAAGTTTCCTCCATTCTTCTAGCTGGTATAAAATAAACCAACAAACTCACCGTTCTCTCAGCACTGGATCCAATCCCACAGTCGGTTCATCCAATATGAGAAGTTCAGGTTCATGTACCAAGGCAGCTGCTAACGAAACCCTTCTCTGTTGCCCTCCCGAGAGCGTCTTTATCAGTCGTCCACCGCTGGGCAATTCGAGTAATGTTCTGAGGAATTCGAAGCGTTCCACCATTTTTTTCTGCTCCATACCGTAGATGCGGCCAAAGTAGTATATCGCATCGCGAACTGTGAATTCTCCTACGAGGGCTATATCCTATAAAAGAAAGAAGTGGAGGTATTTAAGATCATTTCAATAATCTATCCTTTTTTGCAGTTTGATGAAGCACTAAGAGCCGCACACGCTTCCAAACTTCATACTATGCTGAGGTTGTCATTAAAAAACCATCTTCCTCTACATGTAAAAACATATTAGAGGCCTTGAACTTACTTTCAATAGCAAGTTCGACCTACACCTATCTGACAGTGATCTGTTCATACTGTTGCTTAGACTCCAAAATTCATCCGTAAGAGAATTATCCCTTCCCATTATTATTTAATTACCTTTGTCTTTTGTACTCCCAAATTTCAATTTTTAATACCCTAAGTGCCCAGTTTTCGACAATAATACATGAGTCGTATTAAATTGTATTTGGCAAAATGTGGGAGTTGAGTTTTTCTGTGAGAATTTTTTACTCACACAGTATTTCTGTGAGAAGTAGAGAAGTATTTCTTTACAATACATGTATTTCAATACATGGATTCTGTTTATGAATAAAGCTTTGGTGGATAATATTATTCAGTTCTGTGTTTCTTATGATGTATGGAACCTGATAAGGTGTGGTCTGGGCTTTTTGTTTTAAAAAGTATGTCAGATCCTTCTTTTCCTAACAATAACGTAGTTGTTATCTATTTGTAGCAATTCATTTTATATGGTACTAACTTTAAGGCTGACGATCGAATACAGGTAAATGTATTTAGGTTTTTTTTAACATGGATTTATTATTTTGTGGATTCGCAATTCAAGATCCAAGACCCGGGAATCAAATTCATAGAATAGCTCTTACCTGAGGCATATACCCAACCCTAGGGCCAGGGACTCCACTGCCCTTTTCCCCTGGTCTTCCACCGAGCACGTAGATATTACCGCTATCCAGTTTCCTTCTACCTACTATGCAGGATAATAGTGTGGTCTTACCGCATCCTGAAGGTCCAAGTAGACCATATCTGGTGAATAAATTAATCCAATTAATTCTGAGAAGAGCTGCGAAAATTCTTGTTCTTACTTTGAGATATAGAACTTCCCATCATTAGCCATTAGGCTCTGTTGGGCAAGTCACGACCACTTAAGCTGGTCGAAGGGACATTACAACCTCTAACATTCGTATAAGAAGTCAGCCATAAAAAGAAGAAAGTGTGAAATATTTGCAAAATAATTTATACTCACATAATACCTCTTTCAACCACCATGTCTAGATCTTTGAGGACTGGTTTGAAGTCGGGTTTGTTTGGCCTGCCATAGAACTTGCTGGCCCTCTCTACCACAACGGCGGCGGAATGGACCGCCATCTTGAATGGGAGTTCTTTTATTACCGGTTAAGCTGACATCTTTTTACCTGATGACGAAGAAATAATGTTGTAGAAATGAAAACTATTAACAAGACTTCCATGCATATTTATATCATTTGTTAGAGAAACATGTCTTTCTTCAGAACATTTTACTTTTCCTATTTATATATTATAAGATGTTTTACATGCACTTGCGTCAGCAAGCGACACTAAGCTTTTGTGATTTAAAAAAATAAAATACAAAAATAAATATAGGTACATATATTGTAGTTAGACATTGTTAAGAAAATAAAGAAAAATTCTAAGGAAACAGAAGTTTCTTGACTGAAGAAGCTTCAAAATTTTTCTTCGAGATATTTTTATGGAACAAATATACCGAATAAAACATTTATAATAATCAATTTTCATTCTATATAGGTGAAAATATTCCATGAATTAATGTCGTGAGATTTCTCTAAAACTATTAGAGGCATGACAGAATTAAGAAAAGTGATAAAATTGTCGTGCGCGCTCTTCTAAGTGCTTTGATAATTTCAACATTACGTTTTTCAGAAAATGACAGTGTACATACTCCAGTAGGAAGTTATCAGCACAGATCACGTCAACCAGTTTAATGTATTGTATAATTAAGTATAGTTACTAAGGTTTCTCTGCAATTTTACTGTTGTTTCAATGATGGTTGACATGCCAGTTCTTATGTACCAAATGTTTTATGCAACGTGTTGAACGTGTGAGACTTTGTGAGTTGTCTCTAAATATCACAATAATATTTGGAAAAATCACAAGATATTTCCTTTACAAATAATGTATTCTGTTAAACCTTTTTTTAAAAGGGAATAAAACGGCTTGAGGGGTTTATAGATCTGCGGTCGGAACGAAGTTTCTTTCTCTTTTTGGGCAGAGGTTTGCTATACAGTCATTATAATTTTTATTATAAAATATCAAGTTATTAGAGTTAAATTGAAAAAATAATGATAAAAAACTATGTCTATGGACTTCGTTCGACCGGGGCGGTCGGCACGAAGTGCCGCAAGGAGTGTTGGAAAAAAGTCTTGTTACATATTTTTCGGTCTCGCTCTAATCAGTTCAGAGCGTGTAACGCGCCATAAGAAACTTCGTTTCGATAAAACACTTTATCCACCCTTCTCTTCTCTCTAAACAAGTTATCATTTGTTCGTGAAAAGAACAATAATGATTTTCTAAATCAAACCATTACCAATGCTTTGAAAAATACCGAGACGGTTAAGCCAACAGTCTGTTTATAAACTTTTGCTTTTGTTAATCAGACGGAAATCCGGCAACTCTCTCTTTGTTAATAAGGACCACTTTTGCCCAACAACAGGCGAAATGCTTTTTCCAAAGAAATGAGGCGTTTGCCGCTTTAATGAAATGTTTATCAGCTAGCTACTTTATAAAAGATCTTCAAGTATAAAAAGGCAGAGCTTCTGAATTCTCAATATACATACAATAATCGCAAATAATTACCGCAATCGCATACAATAATTATTGTTTATAGGGCATGAGGTGCTTACCTATAAGTAATTGTAACATAGTGCCTGTAGTGCCACTTCATACGCAATTTAAATGTTAACCAGTCTTTGCAATAGTTGGTGAACCAATTAAATTAATTAAATAAATAAAAATGTGCAAGTAGCGCAACAGACAAAAATGTACCTCAAAATTAACATCTCGCAAAATTACATATAAACCTCCTTTCTAAGGAGAGGCTTATGTCCAGCAGTGGACTATTAAAGGCTGTTGATGATGATGATGATGAAAATTACATATTTAAAAAACATGTTTTCAAAACAATAAATATATTTTTGAAAGAAGACAGCGGCCTATCACATTGGCCGCTGTCTTCTAAAGCTTAGATGAAGAATAAAACTATTGCGTCAATACGATTCCCTTTACAGAGTGGAATCGTCCAGAAAGTTACTTTGCATCAGTAAAGAGAGCTCTTGTATGGTTATCGATGAGTCAGATGGGCGACCAGCCGTCAATGTGGCGGGACATATACATAACCTGTGGAGAACAATAACATACGCGTATTATGATTACGCGTAGGATTATGTATACATATGTTTTAATTAAGACTACTACTAATATTGTATGTTACGCATCCCTAGTATTTTCTTTGCAAGTCGGAAAGTTCTAGTCATTTTTACCGCCACGCGCCGCCACCACACTGACGAATGTCAGCAGAAAATCTTATAAAAGAATTAAGCTCTTAATTTAAGTAGCTTCAGACAGCTCTGAGCATCGGTCAGAATTGTCTCGTCTTGATACTAAAACCACAGGCGCATATCAAAGCTAGACGATTTTGGACGATGCTTGGAGCTGCGTACAGATACTAAAATTAATAGTTTCATGCTTTTAATTTAAGGTTTTCTAACATACTGAAGTATAACAATAAAACAAAATAATTCCGTGTGGTGACGGATTAAGAATACAGATTGTCACCACCCCTATTCATCCCGTGGGTGTTGTAAGAGTCAACTAAGGGAAAAAACTACGCAGAACAACAACACTGCAGAGAGAAGGAAAACTTGACACAAACCCTATACCAACCCGTCTGGCCAGCGTGGTATAGTAGGCCAAAACCTCCTTTCTAAGGAGAGCCTATTAAAGGCTATTAAAGCCTATTAAGCCTATTAAAGGCTGTTGATGATGAATTTGATCGGTTTTTTTCTGGCGATGGGCAAAACAAGTAGACGGTACACCTGGTGGTGAGTGACCATCGCTATGTGCAAATCTAGTTGCAGGTGTCCTAGTGTGCCCCCTCCTCGAATAAGCAGCGACGGAGGGAAGGGGTTCCTGGTTAAATTCTAAAATTTCTTTGTCCGGAGTAGAAAATATATTTTGAGAGATCATGCTAAAATGTGCATTGGTTTTAAACTGTGAGAAAGACGAGAAGTTACATAATTGAACTATGTTATCGTGTGAGAATTGAAGTGTGATAGTTTTGGTAACATTAACTGTCGTTGTTGACACAGTTTTGTTTGAAATTATTTGTAACAGTGTTAATCAAATTTAGTGATCTCTAAATTATTATTTTTATTATCACTTACGTATTTTTACCCGACTGCGCCGAAGGTTTATTTTTTTTAGTGCATGTATATGTAGATTTACTCGTACAGGCACCCTCTGTATTAAACATAGTTATATATTTCTAAATACATACATGTTATAGATAAATAACACCAAGGCACAGAACAAATCCACATTTACGCATATAATCATCATATTGAAAATTATTTTGTTTGCAGAAAACGATATTAGGTATTACAGCGTAATTTTTGTTTGAATCAAGAATTAGAACCACTTCTGCATTACAATGAACCATAATAAAACAAAGTTAGTACAATTCTTATTTACGATTATTTCCTTTACATATTGTAACAACAGTAACAAAAAATGACATTTTTTTTCTATTGAGATCCAGAAGAATGCTTCGTCATCATCAGCCTATCGCAGTCCACTGCTGGACATAGGCCTCTCCCATTGCACGCCACTGAGATCGATTTTGGGCTTCTCGCATTCAGCCCCTGCCAGCCATCTTGCGCAAATCGTCACTCCACCTGGCGTGTGGGCGTCATACACTACGTTAAGTATGCTTACCTGATGTAATATGACAGAACATTGCTATCTACATAAATTAGCAAAATGCATTTATCAAAAAACCAACATCTCTCAATAAACGGGGTCGTCTGTTTCCATATAAGAAACCTGTTAGTCTGTTTGTCCCACTGAACTCTTTAACACATGGCGGTGCGCGTGTTTATATGGTAAAGCCTTTATTTAATGAACATGTGAATGTGTATTAAGCGTGTGTGCGTTAGTGATCGAAGCGTTTCTCCACTGTCACACGAAGAAGTTATTATTTTTATATTGAGTTGATACATTAAATAAATGTCTCTAATATAAATATTATAAATATCTAGTACGAATATTATAAAGCTGAAGAGTAAAGCTAAACTACTGGTTCGCATTTGAATATTCTTTTAATATTTGATAGTTCATTTAGCGAAGTAGGCTATGGGTTGTAAAACATGACGCTACCACCAATAGGAGCCGAGAATCAATTAAAAATGTTGCAAAAACGGCTAAAATTTTGAGAGAGGCAGAGGAAATTGTTGCGGAATTAACGCTATAAATATGTAGGTATGTATGTATATCGTGATCGTCACGGTCTCGATGATGGGGGCCGTACGCGTGACCACGGCCAGTGCAAACTGATCGAAACGTCATCAATTTTACATATAATTTTTATTTACATTTTATTTTAATTAATGTAAAAGTCCACAACTAATATATCTATTGTTATTCTGCTTGCTTGTTGCTATACTACTGCTTGTTTTATATTCATGTAATGTGCCAATTTGTCTGTAAATGAAGATGGGATAACTTAAAAACATATTTATTTGTTCAAAGGTTGTTGATTATTGAACCGTTCTTTTATAAATATTCATTAGTAAAGTACCTATCATGCATGCTTACGTGATGAGAGAACAAGTTCTGAATTTTAATGACTTTTTAAAAAGTCTAGATTTATTTACTTATTTAAAACTTAATGCACATGTTGTACAAAGGTGGACTTAATGCCATTAGGCATTCTCTCCCAGTCAACCTTCAAGTAGAAATACGACGCGGTAAGTGCAAAATAAAATATTAAATTAAACATAATTGAAGTCTAGAGACAAACACAATAGGTATATAAACACATATACATAGATAAACCTAATAGTGCAAGAAATAAACACTTGCTCTTTCAATATTCAATATGTAAATATTGTACTTAATATTCAATCAATAACATACATTTTATTTATTTAGGTATATTAACATTATAAGGCTGGAGAATTTGTTTATTTCTTTGTTTGGTTGAACGCTTTGATATTGAAAAACGGGGACAATTTATTCGTTTTGAGACTTTTGAGAGACACAGACCCGGACGCGGAAATTGAATCGGAATATTGAACAAAAATGTAACATGTTGT